ACAAGATCGGCGCTCCTTCCTCTTTTAAACTTTCTTATTTTCTTTTCTTTTTCTTTTTCTGCAAATAAGAAAAAAAAGAAATAAGCGCATGCCCGAAAAGGGAAGTTCCACGTGGAATACTGTGAAGGAAATAAAAAAAAGCGTCAAGAGCGAAACCTGAGGTTCGCTCCTTCCCGTAACAACAGCAGAGTAGTAATAATAAAATAAGCGGCGTCAAACCTCAACCTCAACCTCAACGTCAACCTCAAATTCAACCTCACTCGTGCGCTTTCAACACTGAGAAACAACACACACACTTCGACACTTCCTGCACGCTGCGGTTGACTCCATAACTACTTTATTGATTCACACGTCGAGCCCGGACGGCGAAGTTCGAGTATACGACCTTGTCACGGAAGATACGGATAATACGGCCACCAGAAAACGGCTGGATCTGCGGAGTTTCGCCCGCCCTGACCCTGCTTAAACCACCCAACCAGCCTCGCCGCTCGCCAGATCCTTCAAGCGTCTTCTTATCCCTCCAGCCTCACGCAGGAGAAAAGGGAAGAAGCATCAGAGAGGACCAGACAGGCACCCATGCGCTGATATTGAAGAGGTAACATCCCTACACCTCAACCTAACGGGCGAGTATCCAGTATCTGGGACGAGTTGGCTTGCTTCCGTCCTGGGCCCGGTCCACTCTCCTCTCCCTTCCTCCCCAATCACACTCTCACTTGGTTCTCGTCATTCCATGCCAGAAGGGCAAAAAGAAAATCATCCACACGGCTCCCTTCTGCGTTTCAGATTCGTTCTCGGACACACGTACCTCCACCAAAAGTCTGGCACTAACAACGGCCTCTAGCCTTCCTGGCTACCGACTCTCCTCCTCCTCCTCCATCATCATCATCATCATCATCATCATCATCATCAACCATTACGCTCACTCCGTCGAGTTCTTCCAACGACCATTCCCCTTTCAACGGACACTGCTCCCCGAACTCGACGCCAAAGGAAATTCTGCCCAGCTTAGCTACCACTTTTTTCTGCCTTCTTATCTGTCGATGCAGAGCGGGTTTGACTCCTTAATCCAATCGAACGCGCACAGCGGCTGCTGCGGCTGAGATGGGTAATTCTCAGGGCAAGCTCTCTTCTCCAGATCACCCAGGTATGTGTTTTCATCGTTCCTATTGCCGCAGACGTGTAGGTTAATACTCGTTTTCTCTGCTAGTCAATTTAAACCAGTTCAGGCTACTTCGTGTCGTGGGAAAAGGTGCTTTTGGAAAGGTTCGCATCGTCGAGCGGAAAGATACTGGTCTTACATTTGCCCTGAAATATATCAGAAAAGATGAAGGTAGGCTCCCCTTTTTCCGTCTTCTACGGAATCAACGTCATATACTCACTGCATTAACCAGTCGTCCGGTCGGAGAGTGTGCGGAACATTATTCGCGAGCGGCGCATGCTGGAACATCTTAACCACCCCTTTCTCTGCAACTTGAGATACAGCTTCCAGGATATGGAGTACATGTATGTTGAGCGAACACAGATGGCGTATCGATTATCTCAATGATTATCGTCATTCTAACAATCTCTAGATACATCGTTGTCGACCTCATGAACGGCGGTGACCTTCGTTTCCATATATCGAGAAAATGTTTCACCGAAGAGGCAATTCGATTCTGGATGGCCGAGCTTGCGTGCGCTCTACACTATATTCACGGGCAGGGCATTGTACATCGGGACGTTAAGCCAGACAACATCCTACTGGACTCTGAAGGACACGTTCATCTCGCTGATTTTGTAAGTCACCTATACAAACCTCAAATGACCTCAAGACAAGGCAATATCCTAATTCGAAGTTAGAATGTCGCATCGGACTTCAAACCCTCGAAGCCACTTACAAGCAGATCCGGAACAATGGCATACCTCGCTCCTGAAGTCTTCCAAGGAGGAGGCTACCTATCGAATGTTGACTGGTGGTCGCTCGGCGTAACTTTCTACGAATGCATCTACAGTAAACGACCCTTCGATGGCCGAAGCCATAGCTCTCTCAGCGAAGCTATCATGCGCACTCAACCCAAGTACTACGTCACAAACCCTGCCGTTACTGTCCCATGTCTCCATGCCCTCAGTGCATTATTAGAAAAGGATCCGACGAAACGCATTGGTGCCATGAACTTTGAATCATTCACTACTCACGCCTTCTTCGCACCTATCGACTTTGATGCCCTCCAAAGAAAGGAGATTGAACCAGTCTTCGTGCCGTCCAGTGACAAGACCAACTTTGACGCTACATACGATCTCGAAGAACTTCTGCTTGAGGAGGCACCGTTGGAAGCGCGTGCCCGCCGCCAGAAACCCCGCGCTGAACTCAAGGATGATGCTACAGCCAAAGAAATCCGAGAGGACGAGCTTCACCGTATCATAGAAACCATGTTCGAACCTTTTGATTACACAACGATGAATTATGAAACCACTGCTGCGGCAGCCATCGCCGCCTCTGCTAACCCCGAAGACTGCCTCAACTTGACAACATCGCCGAGCCAGCGACGTCGACACCGGCATACCAATTCCCAGGGTCGCTCAGGCTCCTCCTCGCCATCGGTCCGAACAGATCGGTCGACCCGAACGGACAAGTCAACTAGGACAGAAAAATCCTACCGATCTACCGCTTCCGACGCACATGGCCAGAATAATGTACCAGTCGATAGTGTAAACCCTGGTTCCCCATCCTCTGATCGCGGCGGCGCCCTCTCTCGCTCTCCTCCAACCCAACCTCCTCCCGGTCCCCCTTCGCTCCCGTCCCAACGCCACGCTAACCGTTCTCATACCATCACCTCGACCAACCAAGGCGTTCCACAGTTCTCCCCGCCTCCGCCACCGCCGGCTCAACTCTCTCAACCCCAACCTCGCGGTGCGACCCGAAATCGGAGTAAATCTGGAGGTGTCCAAATGGTTCTCGAGGAGACAGGCAGTTGGTCTGGACTGGCTGATCAGACCACTAACGGGGATGCACTCCCAAACAATGTGAATGGCAACAGTCTACCAAATGGAACCGGATCTACTACCGGTGCCCACGGCAATACCTCTGGCGGGATGTTCTCTTTCTTTAGCCGAAAGAAGGGCAGGGAGAGAAGCCCGAAACCCTCCGAGCGTGGAGTACTAGGCAAGGAGGGCGCGCGAGTTGTGATCTCCGGCTGACCTAGCTCAATAACAATATGATATGCCATTACTTGGTGAAGGTGCGAGGATACGACGCGATGGATTTCTTACCCGATATTTTCTATTCCCAGTTTCCTTTTTAATACTCCCCTTTGGTATCTCCTTTAGTTCTTTCTTCATTATAGACGGACTGCTGGATGGCGTTTTCTTTTCACTTCTTTGCCCTTTTTTTTTTTTTTTCTTCCCCTTCAGCTCTACTTCGCTACCCTTTGCTTCGCCAGCGTTAGTTCATTGATACCTCATATTGAACCCCCCATTTCCTCTCTTATCTCAGTTCGAGAGCTAATAAAACCGCCCACCCAGTCTGTCCGTTCATGTATTTGTCCATCTACACGGGATGTTTTTTTGACTTTTGTCTCGACTTCAATCTGGGAGCATTGTTTGTTTCTCTTTCTTCTCCATTCTTTTGATTCCCTCTTTTCATATGCGATGCTATGCGTTACGTTTGCTGTGCTTGTTGCATTTGTGAGCTGGGCTTGTTATTTCCTATTCCCACACTGTCTTGGTGGTTCTTTTTTTATGCTCCCTCTTCCCCTGATAAATCGATCCTGGACATGGCTGTTGGCTCTTTCGATACTGCCCACATACTTGTCTACATAGTTACTCTGCCACATATACCTTACCTAACGATAGCGCTAGCGAGACTGATAAAAAATACGAATAATATCTCCTCATTTCATGTCTCTGTTTTAACAAACCCTTCGCCTCTCGAATTGCTGACCTTGATAGCACTTGGAAACATGTAAAACATCGACTGCGCTTACCGGCGCGGGTACCTGTACCGTCCATTTTAGCCGCGCTGCCGCCAGGGACACGCGCCAAGGGCCGAACCGTAAACTTTTCTGTCTTCCCGCACGACATAAACAAACAACACCGACAGACTGACGGACGGTTGATATATATACATGACAGTCCAAGGTATGGACGCCCAGGATATCCATGGGTATACTGGCGAATACTGACAATGCATTAGGCTGTCCCATCTGATGTCAACCTCCTATCATCCAACTTCTCCTTACCCCCGTTTAGCGTTAACGTGCTACGATTTTCATTGTGACGGCCGCATATTCTACCATTCGACGAACGCAGCTTCATCAAATCTAGTCTTTAGCCTTGTTCAATAGTACTGCCTTCCCATGAGTGGCACACGCCATTCGCCGCACCCACCTCATCGGTCTCGAGGCCGCCATCATAGCGATGACCTTCAATACGATTATACCTACGACCGCGACGATTCGGATGGCTATGACCGTGCTTATAGAAAACGACGAGAAAGCAGGGCAAGAGAAAGCAAAACAAGAAGAAGTGGGTATCGGGGCGCCCACGCCGCGGATGAAGGTGTACATACACAAGATGAAGATGATGTATTTGATGATAGGAGACATAGAAGTAGGAAGAGAGAACACCGGCCGTCCAGAGATAGACAGCACAGAAATCGAGTGCGAACGCGCGATGAACGTGTTGCGTGGGATAGTGCGACTGAAAGTGAGGACATAGTTGACTCGAGGCCGATTTTTGCGCGGCCGCCGAACGCAAACCATTCTCCTCGCGCTAACAGGCATGAAAGAGATCGGGACCGAGAAAGACATTCGCATTATCCAAGTCCCAGAGCCGGGCATAAAGCGAAAGAGTCACCCGCCACTTCACCTAAGAAACGGGATCGCGAACGGGATCGGGAAGGGCATAACAGACATCGGCCTAGAAGGGATAGCACCGCTGACGAAGGTGGTGATAGAAGATTAAGAGACCGAAGGATAAGGGGTTATGACACGGACCAGGAGCGTGAACATCATGGTAGGGACATGAGACGGCATGGACGACGGGAGAAGCACACCAGCAACGACTCTGCGAACAGTGCGACTGTGCTGCTTAGCTCTGATGCGCTGGCGCAGCTCGACCAGTTAAACCGCAAAGCAGACGAGGACATGAAAAAGAAGGCTCGAAAGGAGGAAATCAAGCAGCAAAAGAAAGAAAAGAAGAAGAAGAAATACATTTTTGAAAGCGGGTTTGCCGGAGATAGCGAGAAGGAAAGGGAGAAAGGCTGGGAAAGCTCAGGAGACATACAAAGAAAGAAAAGGAGGGAGAAAGACAGAGAAAATGAGAAGAAAAGGCTTGTTTCTGGCGCTTATTTGGAAGAAGGGAGAAGTCCTGAATTAAGAACTAGAGGAGGTGGAAGACGCCGCACCGAGAAGTATCATGGCGGAGGCGGAGGTGGTGGAGGAGATGACTACTATTTCAGTGATGGCTACGATTATGAAGAAGAGGGCAGTGCTGGCAACGGTTGTTTTCAGAACTGGTCCAAGAGGAAAAAGATCATCGTTGTGGTCGGAGTGTGTCTTCTTCTGCTTGCGATTATCATTGCCGTCGCCATAATTGTGTCGAAGAAGAACGGCGGCGGCGGGAAACACCCTGACGGCCCTGTAACCACTGGTCCATCTCACAGTGAGCTTGATGGGATAAGTCCTGATTCTGTACCGGTATGTGTTTATCCTCTCCCTTTATTCAGAAATAATACTAATGCGTATTATAGCCTGATGCAAAAGGGACCCATCTAGATCCGTTTTCATGGTATGACACGGCCGATTTCAATGTCACATATACTGACGAAACCGTTGGCGGTTTACCTATCATGGGCCTAAATTCTACTTGGGACGATTCTGCCCAAGCAAATGAGAAGGTTCCAGCCTTGGACAAACCGTTTCCCTACGGTAAACAGCCTATACGAGGTGTGAATCTCGGTGGCTGGCTTTCCATGGAACCATTCATTACCCCCTCTTTTTTCCAGCGATATTCTGCACGAGATAACGTTGTGGACGAATATACCCTTACTAAACGACTGGGGAATGCGGGGAAACCAACGTTAGAAAAACACTACGCTACATTCGTAAATGAGCAGTCGTTCAAAGAGATTCGTGATGCTGGATTTGATCATGTTCGAATACCATACGGATACTGGGTAGTGACAACCTACGATGGTGATCCTTACTTCGCTAAGATGGGCTGGCGATATCTCTTGCGAGCCATTGAGTATTGCAGGAAATTCGGCTTACGCGTGAACCTGGACCTACACGGCGTTCCGGGGAGCCAGAACGGATGGAACCACTCCGGCCGCCAGGGCGAGATAAAGTGGCTCAATGGTGATGATGGCGCTAAATGGGGCCAAAGAGCACTTGACCTACACGACCAACTATCTAAATTCTTTGCTCAACCTCGATATAAGAATGTCATTGCTCTATATGGTCTCGCAAACGAACCGATGATGTTGAAGTTGGACATTGAACCTGTTTTAGATTGGACCACCAAAGCTGCTGATATTGTCGGCGGGAATGGAATGAAGCAGAAAATTGTTTTTGGAGATGGCTTCCTGAAGTTATCAAAATGGTCGAGTATATTGCAAAATACTGGCCATGACTTGATTATAGATACACACCAGTACACCATCTTCAACGCCGACCTGATCAAACTGACTCACAAGAAGAAGCTTGAATTTGTTTGCGATAGCTGGGTTGATTTAATCACAAAGAGCAGCACAAAAGGGAGTGGGTAAGTAATATATACAATGCCTAATATCTAGCCTTTTTCACACAGTCTCTGACACAGCATAGATATGGTCCGACTATCTGCGGTGAGTGGTCGCAGGCCGACACCGACTGTACAATCTACATAAACAGCGTTGGGGTCGGGTCTCGCTGGACAGGCACAATGGACAAAAACCCCATCGGTGGAGATCCCGTCCTCACACCATCTTGTCCAAGCGGCAAACAATGTTCCTGTGATGCAGCAAATGCAGACCCGTCGCAATACTCAGATTCTTACAAGAAATGGCTCAGGCTATATGCTGAAGCTCAGATCTCCGCCTTTGAAAAAGGCTGGGGCTGGTTTTACTGGACCTGGGACAGCGAGTCAGCTGCCCAGTGGAGTTGGAAGAAGGGGATGGCAGCAGGTATATTACCTGCCAAAGCATATGAACCGGAGTTCAAATGTGGTGACGATATTCCTGATTTTGGTGATTTGCCGGAGAATTATTAGTTTATTTCTGGATATATCAACTAATGTGTTTGGATTTTGGATATTTGGTGGTTTTATTGCTGGAGCAAAGGGGCATGCATGCATATGTGTATCATTTATGCTATTTTTATTCCTCTTGTGCTTTTGCATTGCATGTATATATGACGTTTGGACGGTTGGGATCATGATTACCTGTGGATTATGTTTAATATCGATATTCTTTAACGTCTTCGTTCGCCTATGATTGACGACCGAGTATCACGGTGAAATGAAGGCCATGCATAAGGGGTGAGACTCAAGGAAGCAAAAATAGAACAACCCGTTCGACCGCTAAACAACTAGCCAACTAACTAGTTACTTGTCTCAAACAGAGGCAGAGATTATCCATTGACTGGCTACGAGAGTCACTCAAACGAGAAGAGTTTCACGATCGTTGATAACATTCGCTCTGCTGTCGCTCATTCTTCAGGTCTTGACATGGAATCGACAAGGAACAAAAGACACCCGAGATCGCGGTAACTCCTTTAGTTACCCAACTCCTGGTATACTCATGCGCAAAATCAACCATCATGGCCGAAAATCCATGAATACCTCATGGAATGTCCAATCCTGTGCCTGACAGCGTAGGCGGCTTGCAAAATACTCGACATGGCCACCCCGGACGTCCGCGCGAAAACCAGGATTTACATGGCCTCCCTTGGCCAACACTCTCCTGCCGCCCTTGCATTGACGGGCTGGAGCCCTTCCTTGACATCACACTTGGCGTAAGCCTATCAAGTGTGATCAAGCTGTGATATGTTGGATGAAGGTTGTGAAAACTCTCGTCGCAGCGCCATGATTGGCTGCTAGTCCTGATGCTTGATATCCCTGGGCGCTTAACAGCAGTTCTAAATTGGGAACCGGGCCGTCCGTTGCAGCCATTCGACAGCAGCACCAAGACGCCGGCCCTAGGGTTCTGTGCCTTCGACGTTATTTCTGGCGGCGGGGCGACGCTGTGCATTCTTCCTATATAGACGATGGTTCGCCCATCTTTATACCATCTACAATCCCTTGAATCCATAACTAGCTAATTCCTACCGTCAACACGAAAATCGAGCAAGGGTGCTGCCACTACTGTCCTTACCTGATCTCTCTATAGTGCCCTGGCTTCTGTTCTAGTTATCCTTATATACTGTTGGTGTCGGAGACTCACGAAGCCAGGAACACAAGAATGACGAACTCCCCCTTTTTCCGTCTTAATCTACTGCCCCTGTCGCTATTTTCGCTGCTGGTATCAGGACTTACAGGAGCTGTTCCAGCACCACATCCTGATTCAACAGACTATGAAGGGGTTGTTCCTGGAAGCCTTGGAGATGCTGGTTCGGACGGATCCACGGGTTCATCTGGAGCAGAGGGCGGATCAATCAAGATACCAAAAGGCGGCCTAATAGCAATCATCATCGTGGTGGTAATTGTTGTTATAATTGGAAGTAGGTCTAATCCCTTTTATAAAATCCATTTTCTGATGTATCCATCAATCTAACTATTCATAGTAACTACCGGTATCCTTTTCTACCAAGCAAAGCGGAGACAATGGACAATGAGAGAAACGATGCGATACTCAGTTCGCAAGGTCGCCGAATCCATCAAATCTCCATTGACGCCCACATTCAGAAGCCGTGGTCAATACCCAATGACCCCCGCGGGAGCCAAGGCAGTGGCATCACGGCAACCCAAGTCCTCACTACAGCCCAAAAATCCAATGTCTCACTATCAAAACCGCCTGGCTAAGCCGACTGATCAATACCCGCGTGTGGCTGAGGGAGAGAAAGGACGCAGTGGAAAACCAGATTTTAATTTCTCCAAGCTTCTTTCATCCAAGGACAGTAGATGAGGGAGCTGGTATTCGAACATACTCATCAGAAATTTATGCCGCAATGTGAAGCCTGGTTTATGCTTTTCTTCTAAGGGATTGTCTAGAGTAAAGGTGTTTAGCTGTCTGTCAACGGTTTTGCTTTTAGATATTTTTTTAATGATACCATTTTATACGCACCGCATGTAAGGCTACACTATTAACCACGATAGCGTGTTCTGCTTCTCGTTGTAAATATACGAGCAATACACTCAAACAGTAGAGCTTCCAAACAAGCTAGATATATAAACCATGAGGCCGCCAATATACATTATCCAATTAATGCAACAAATGAAATGCCCCTCCAATGTAGACAACTCCGTAAGGCCATGCAGTAAACCAGTAGCAGTTTATGTTAGCAATGAAATAGAACTGCTCGCGCGTGAAATCCTCCGATACTCTGACACCTTTGGGCTGACCGCATTCTTTATATTAGCGACATTATCATCATCAATGGAGTCATGATTATACGGTCCTCTCTGCCGAAGTCTGGCCTCTTCTGCCTCCACCTCTTCTGCGCTCGTCATATAATAGTGTTCTTCCTTCTCGTCCATGGAAATCATCCATCGCTGCGTAAGTTGCTTGCCTTCTGGCCCGGCACCACAGGCTCCGCTAACATGGATGCTAGGGGGACTATTAAGAGCGAGGGCCAAAGTATTTTGAGGTTCGGTGAAATCTGTCAGCTGGACGCCTCGGAAGGCTAAGTACAAGTACACTGAACAAATCAGATTTGTGACCAGGACGAGTGCTAGCACGGCATAAAACACATTTTGCCATGCTGGTGAATTCGCTCCCGAGGCGTAGTCCGACGCCCATACTGTAGCGTGGAACTGTTCGTACATGGGCTCATGATGTCCAGCCATCCGTGCATCAGCGAAAGTCTTTCTATGGTTGAATGTAGCATCCTGTGTCCCAAGTAATAGGAGTGAGCTGGCCATTGCTGCCAAGGCTTCAGCAACAGATGGGAGATGGGGATCCAAGGATGAAATGTTTGTCTTGATGTCTGAGTTGGATATTAGCTGCGATAACAGCCGAGCATTGCTTCCATAGCCATCGGATAGGCCTGTGTTTAATGCAATAGACCTGGCCCATTCCTCAGCAACGTTTTTCCAATCTTTATCAATCATAATTGGAGGTACATCTGGGACAACGGATTGGTATGTCATTGAATCCGCTGCCTTACCACACTGGGAGTAAAGAACACCTCCACTAGAAGCCGCTTCATATTTTGTTAGGCATTGAGGTGTCAGGCCTCCCTTCATCTGGCATAAATAGTGAGGTGGATATATCGACGGAGGGGATGTCCCTAGAAGGTAGATTGAGTTTGTCTCGAATCTCCCTGTCACATTGATAATCGTGTTATATTCCAGTGGAATCTTGGGAAATATAGGTGGTCTTTGGCCTCTATCGCCAAATTTCTCCCCAAATTCAAAAATGTCATCGACCACAGTAGCATTCAACCAATCCGGGTAATTAGGCATATCGGTTGTCTGATTCATAAGCCAGGTAGATGCATTGAATTCAAAGTTAGGATGAGGCCATTTGGTGTAAATGATGGGAGCTAGTTCTTCCTCCGTCATGCCGGCACAAATCACGTTGACAATCGGTGACGGAACGGCAGCTTTAATATTGAACTCTCCTTGTCCTCCAAGATCCTCTGGCAAACGGATGTTGTTTTTGGGATGTCTAGCTGCCGAAAATATACCAGCGTGCGGCATTGCTGCTGTAACATTGACGACCATCCGGCCCCATTTTATAGAGAGTTCTGTCATATTGTAGGGCTCAATCCAGCTACCTTTGACTGTTGTGTTGTCGTACCAGGTGCCACTTGGCGGAGGGCGTAGAAGCATGTCCGTTGAACCCTGACCAGCACCAAATTCAGTCCAACGCCCCAGATACTGCTCGTAGTTATGAAACGATTTGCCGGAAAATGCAATCTGCATGCAAGTTGAGCCTCGATTCACTGGGTCAACAGCCAGGGGTACCGGGCTTTGGCAGTTGCTGAACAGATAGGTGGAGTTGGCGAATTTAGTGTTAACTTCTCCTGTAAGTTCCCTCGTCTCAGGAATACCGGCCGTGAGTCTAGGCGACACAAGCGCTTCCGCGGCCGTGGTATAAAACATGGCAACGAAGGTCGTTGTCATTGCAATGATCCCTAGCAAGGTAAGGGCCGAATGCTTAACATTTTCCCAGTGAGTGATTAGGGTTCCTGGCTGCATAACCCAGGTACGCATCGACATATCTGCAATTGTGATTCCTCCGGCATTTTTGCCCAAGGCTTTTCGACTGAGCACTTGGCCTAGGAAAGCAACGAAAACGGTAACAAATGACAACTCGATTGTCTTCGCAAACAAGGCACTTAACAAAGTAGCTGTAGACGGTGCCAGGCCTCCTTTGCCCCCGATCCTGTTTCCATAATGCGGTTTTATGCAAGCAACAACAAAGTATATCGCAGAAAATGCCGTTGAATAGAATGCAAGGACTAATATTGCAATCGATAGCCATGCGCTTCGTCGCTGAACAACATGTCTCCGCGTTGGACATTTCACACGCTTCGGACGGTCTATGGAAAGGATGTTAGAATAATTACACATGTAGGTATTTCATATGCTTAACGTACCATATTCCTGTCCATTTTCTGGCTCAACTATGCGAACCGTGTTGGAATCCGAACCATAGGACTGGAAAGATGAATTGAATGAAGGTGATGGGCGATGGTATGCTGTAGTGAAGTCTGGAGAAGTATCTGCACTCTCTCTTAGCAGCGAAGACTCGCTGAAATGCCTCGAGTGGTGAGATGGATGGTAGCCCAAGTCTGACTCTTCTCCCATTCCACTCACTGGTCCGTTTCTGGGCTGGCCAATCCCTAATCCAAACCCTCTGGACGCTGCATCTCGATAAGTGGGAGGAGTTGCGGGATTCGAGGAGCCATGTGCTTCGTATGAATGAAGATATGGCTCTTCAGCGGATGATAGACGGCGATATGCAGCATTATTCCGCGATGACAATGCAATTGAGTCTCCTCCACGAGAGCGGTTGCTCGTAGTCGGATGGAGGAAGATCTGATCGAAATCGGAATCTCGCCGTGGCTCCATCTGCACAGAGTCCCGGCGAACTCTGGAACGTACTCCGTAAACGTATGTATCTACACTCCCAGGATAGAAGAGATAAAGACCAGAAGAAAACAGAGGAGTGTAGGGCTATCGCAGTAAGTGGGATTTAATTAGTTACAACAATTCCTAAGACAAACAAAGGAGCTGTAACCGTGCCAGAACTGCCAGGCTCGATTTGTTTTGTCCGCAAACAACCGGACAGCAGATATAACCCAGCACGAGAAAAAAGACTCAGCTGGAACAAACAGGGCTGAAAGTAAGCCTGTCACTACCCCGTACCCTTCAGCCTTATATTTAAACAAGGGACGGCCAGGGACCTTTGCAACCTCATGGAGAGATTGCCGGCTGGGTGACAATACGCGAGCTCACAGCCACAGCCTTCCCGTGTTCCCTCAATCATTCTCAAGCTCTCTTAGGGCTGTGATAAGATGGCGCTATGAGACTCTGACAAGTTGAACTGGCTGGTTCGAATGAGAATGGTTGTTTTCCCCGTCATTCAAAGCCAGGCCAACCAAAAGGCGTTTCATTGCTGCGAGCGAATGGAGACTGTCTCGTTCTTGCTGGCTTCTGGTTGGTTTGTTTTAACCAAGCGCCCAAGGCGGGATCCAACTGAATCCTTCGGGCTTGGAGGCGATTTACTGGGGAAAATGTCTCCATCGGAGTTCACCAATCCATGTTCGTTCCCTAGCGTTAATTCTGTCAGAAACAGCATTTCCTTCGTTAAATATTCAATAATGTCCCCGAAGTTCTTCTCATTATTAGGTACCTTTGGTCTTGCTCCAGCTGTATACTCCGTAACTACTCCGTACGGAGTAGTTATCGCTCGTTTGATAATTCTTCATCTTGTCATATTAACAGTCAGAAGCACTCAAAGGCGTGAAAAGCGTTCACCCAGCTCCTCCAACACATTATCCTATACCTATTTATCCCTGGTGCATAGAGACTGGGAGTTGGTTTTGTTAGACTTATCAAATGAAGTCGGAGGTTGGTTCGTTAACTGGCGAGTGGGCTAGTTAAGGTAGTTAGTTATCCCGTGACCTGCGATGGCCAAAAAGGGAAAACATCCAACGTCTTCTCTTGTTCTCCTCCTCCTGACTTCAAGTCTTCAAGATACCAACTAGCAGCATCATGGCTGAGGCTGCTATGCATGACGATGGGCTCTCCCCTACCTCGAAGAAGATACTCAAGGAGTGTACTGTCGAGTTGCCTGCTGCTGCTGTCATAGACAGCCGTGTCTCCTTCGTTGCTAGGCCACCTAGCTCCGGCGCACAGGATGCTGGATTCTACTTTGCAAGGCCAACACTCCCAAGGAGGGCCTTTACTTCGCATCCGCAAACCAGGTCTTCTAGGGCTACTAGTGAAGAGGACAAATGTTTATCTCAGAGGTATCAACATATGGCGCTACTACTTTCCAACTGGGCTGCCCTCGTGCTGACTCTCATTCCAGCCAGGGAGATGATGAGAGGGCATTGCCACCAGATGCGTCATCTCGGGATGAGATGGTTATCGTCCTGGATACCAATTCTGTAGACAGAGCGAAGACCAAATTCCCAGAGAGGGCCAGGACTGTATCCCCTTCGTTAGATAGGGTTACGCCTACCAAACCAACATCAGAAATCGTGCGACCTACTCAAGATATCCCACAATCAAATCTATCCAACAATATAGAAAGAGCTGTTCCTATTAATACCCAGCAAGCTACCGAAGATGAATTATTCAACCTGCTGATACAAAAATTAAAGAAGCGGGAAGAGACTGAAGTAGCGGCATCAAAGTTGATAGATGAGCTAAAAGCAGGCCTCTGTACTGCAGATGACCGCAACAAGCAGCTTACTATTCGGATAAACGAGCTAGACCGTCAGTGCAAAGAGCAGCAAAAGGAAAAAGTTGCCCAGAAACAGTCTGTTGAGCGGTGGAAAGTTAAATTTGGTAAGATAAGGGCCCTCATGGTTGGAATTGCAGATCACCAAGAGAGGCTTCTCAAAGAGTATCGAGCCATTCGAAAAGAACAAGTTTCACTGAACGTGGAGAAGGATCAAATGCATGACAATCTAAACTATCTCACCGAAAGCACCAAAGGGCTGGGAAAGACCATTAGCCAATATAAGGCTCAACTAACTGGGATCATTCATCAGTTCACTGCGGAAGAAGATGCACTTAAATCCCTCTTAAAGTCAAAGGAGTCCCATCTTAAGGAAATAGAGCAGCTATTAGCTGAAAAGAACCAAGCTATTGAAGAAGCAAAAGCCCTTGCTCGAAAAATTGAGTCCGAAAAGTCTGTCCTCGAGTTAAACTCCAAGGAAGTCGAGAAGAGGATACGAGAGGAGCTTTCTAGGGCAAGCTTAATGTCCAAAGATCAAGAGCGTGCTAGGTTCGAACAAGAAAGACACACACTTACTAGAGAAAAACAGCAAGCCGAATCAGAGGCTGCAAAGTGGAAAGAAGAGCTAGAGGCTGTGAAACTATCTTTGGTATGTATGACTTTTCTGCTCCTGCATTACGCTAACAACTTTGAAGGCAGATAGTATTTCAAAACACGAAGAGTTACAGGCTACGGTATGTTTGGACCATGAAGAATTTGATATTCCCTGTATCACTGACGATAACTCAGGTTGTTTCTTATCAGCAGAGGGTAAAAGATATTGAAAATAAATGTGAGGTCGTATCTGTTGCTCATGAACAAGCACTTTCTGCGCTTAAACAGTACCAAACTTCACAAGTAGGCGAGAAAGAGAACGTGCAACAGCAACTTCAAGCTATTCAAAATGAGAATATAATACTGAAGCAGGAAATTTCAACGCTAAAGCTCACCAGCATGACTATTAGGGGAGAAAACGTAACCCTAAAGCAGGAAAATGCTACCCTACAACAGACTAATATAATTAACCACGAGGAAAATGTCTCTTTACAACAAAAGGTTGCAGATACCAAGGCACAATTAGACACTCTCGAGAAAGAGAATGCAAATATTCAGGCAGAGAAACAAGAACGAGAGAAACAAATTACGGATCTCAGCGCAATCAAAGCTACTATTGAGGCAGAGAGGACAATTATCCAAGCAGAAAACACTGTCTTGAGACAGGAGAATGCTGAGGTCAAGGCTAAAAATGCTGCTCTAAAGACCGAAAATGCAGTCCTTACAAAACAAAAGGGCAGGTCTAGCTCTGATCAACCAGCACGCGCCCTCAGCAGTGCTCTGTCTATTACCACACCTAGTGGCTCTGAGAATGCCGGCATTAAGAAAGAGAAAGATGATACATCCACTTCGGCCGAAGCAATCCTCAATGGAATACAGCCAATGGCTGCCGTGCCAGCACAGCGCAAAACACAATTCCATACCCCTTCAGGAGGAAACAAAAAGAAAAGGCCAACCATTGCACCCACGGCTCCTAGACGTCAGTCTCGCATTTCATCTAGATTTTTCGATCCGCAGCCAACTCCAAGTCCTTCGCTTTCTGTGATCACGAATCAACAAGACAGCACAACCTGGACCGTCAACCAGTCTGTAGATACCTTTATGTCACAGTCGAGAGTTCACAGAAGAAAGAGACGTAGAGGTGAGTAAGAAGATAGGCCTTTAATCGCCTCTATTCTAAAATACTGATCATGGAGCAGAAGAAACATTCAACAATAGATTCGGGCAGAAATATGCCTTTCACTAAAAGGTGACGTGGTGTTAATATAAGTATCTACACGAACTTCAGTATAGAATAGTGACGTATATAGAAGGCCTGTGATATGTCTGTTAGGAGTTATACTCAGTTAGCCATAGAATATTGTCAGTTTCACCTATTCAGTCATCCTTGCGTATCTTCATCACTATCGGGTTTAATTTCTACGCAAGCAGTTCGAGTTGCGGAAGGCCCCATTGGGGTGTTAGCAGTGTTAACAAGGCCGGGAAGGTCAAATATGGGCTTGATTTAAGTGCATCCCCAATGCCTTTAATGCTAATAATGATAATAAAGTCAAAAAAGAAGAAAGATGTCCATAATATACAGATTATTCATCGCAGTAACGCCCGGTTTCCTTTGCCTTCTCTATGAACCCGTAAGAGCAGATTGTCACATATGACATCGTTGAGGGATAAATTCATTCCTTCAATCTCTAGAGTATGACCATTCACGGGGAAGAAATCGAGAGTCCATCAATTGAAATCGAGAGTCCATCAATTGAAATCGAGAGTCCATCAATTCGGTCGAATGCGACTTGGTGTGTAGGTCGTCTTATCAAAGGTTCAGATTGCGTGTTCTATTTCCGCCGTTTCGCCTCCAAAAATAACACTTGTTTCTTGACCACGGGGTCATATTTCAGCATGCTGAGCGGACGGCTGGCTCTTGGTCTAGTGAAGGTCTTGTAGTAGCCGGTCATTGCCATGGAGATAAGCCGGACGGCGATCGTTCGAGATTTAGCTATATTCGTAGAAAAATTAGCAATTAAGCATCAAGGTGAAAATACGAGCAGATACTGCTAAAATAATAGGTAACCAACCTTTCTTAGCCATGGTGTGCGGAAGAAAACAGTTAAAACTGGTCGTTCAGTCAACTCGAGCAACAAGTTGCGATTGGCAATTGGAAGTTGAAAGGGAGAAAAAGATTGAATTATCATGTGACCTCGCGGCAACCACGGCGCTTGTAGAATTTCTCGCGCTTGGTGCCTATTTGCCAATAGTGTAGATGCGGCTCCATCAGTGTACTCATCAGGATGCCTCGAAGAGGAAGCAAGAATGCTGATTTCCTTTTTATTATTATTTAATCGAAAGTATCAAAAAATTGGTCTAGTACATAATACATGCTCTGATGCTCAAGGGCGCAACAAAAAAAAGAGAGAGAGAAAGAGAGAGAGAGAGAGCCTGATCGTATCAGAACAAATATCATACATACACTATGTCCTGTGACACCAAATAGATAGAAAGAGTTTGATTCTCCTATTTTTATCCTTGTCCTTACCCCTACGGTGGGGCTTCCTAAGTATAATAGGAAAATAGGGATACAACGGGTAGTAAGCCAGCCACTAATGGGCGGCGAGATGAGTGACACCTAGTTCCGGCACAGATGTGCTCATAGGTGTGGAACGGCTCGACGCAGCAGAATACCATGAGGTGTCCCAAAAGCTGAACATCAGAGATTTCTTCAACCGCTGTTTCGGTGGGAACCTGGGTGTGGGTGTCCGCTCCTCGAGAGGAAGGCTGGGTGGGGGCAATGCCCCTCTGGGATCCAAATAGAGGCGTTATAACTGGGTGCTTGGCCGGAAGTGTTGTGGTATATTGATCCATCAAAGGTAGCCTTAAATCTGTCTGCCTAGTTTCATGGAAGAAGCCTTCACGATAGGTATGTAGATGGGACTCGGATTCCTGACTTAGAAGACGTGGAGTGGTATGTACGAGTGACAAGCTGGCCAGTGGTCTCGTCAGGATAGAGAGTTCCACGACGAGAAAAGGAAAGATCATCACGAGACGTCTCTTTGCCCTTGCGGGAGGATACAACCACGACCGTGCTACTTGAACGCTCGGGTAGTGAGGTGGACGGGGAGGCAGGACTGGATGGAACGTTGTCTTCTCGGGAGCTGCGGGTGTTGTTGGTAGTGTTGATAACTACTGGCTGTGGTTTCTGAAGTTTGGCTAGGAGACCTAGGTCAAGGGCACGAAGAAGGTCACTGACAACGCTGAACTGAGGTGGGATGTCTATCTCCTTCGGTGTGAACTCGATGTCGGCGGCGGCATATGCTTTACCCTCAAGGCTCCGAATACAGAGAATGAAGTTGTGTGCATGTCGAATACCACGGTCACATAGGTTCCTTCCCTGTGTGATGGCCTCTACTGGGTTTGCACAGACTCTGCAGCGGGAAGCGTGTCCGGCATACCGGTCCATGACATGATATTCCTGGCTTAAGGGCATACGGCGGTGGCTAAAGATGGCCGGGGGAGCAGACGGGGAGGTGATCGAAGGCATTGTGAGTGTTGGTGAGGGTCAGTGGTGTTTAACTGGAGATTTGCTGATGTAGTACAAATGAAGTCTTGTAAAGGTAAGCAAGTAATGGGTATCTGTTGTTGTCGTAGTTTGATGTGGAAAAATCTTCCACGAAGGAGGGGTATGACAGGCCTTTTATATTCCGAGGGGGGCTGATGAGCAAGTAAATTAGTTGGAGATATCTTCATCGCAGCAACTAAAAAAGCTCAGACCCGTTTAGACTTTCAAGCCAAGCCTCCTGTAAGTATCCGCGCTGGGCAACCCTATTTTACGAGATCGTAGGATGCAGCTTGGATGCAGCTTGCACCCAATAGTCGTGCTGCGGAGTGAGGCTTAGCCAATCGAAGAAAACCATCTTGCTGGTGCCTATTATTACTAATGAGAATCAGCCAAGCGTGAAAGGTGGATGCCTAAACCCTCACACCCTCCACGCTCCAGGATGTGTGCGCAGCCAGCTGGGATATGCAAGGCGGAACATTCCATTGCATTGACACTAGTTAGGTTCGCAGCAGGAGCCGATGAGAGTTGGTTTCCCACGAAATTCACGCCGAGGTTGACCTTATCGCCACCAACTCCTCAGGGGGGTATCATCTTTTTTTTTTTTTTTCTTTGATCAGGTCAATCATGCTCTCGTCCAAGGCAAACTGATACTGTTCTCAAAATAAGGAAGTTACTGTGTCTCCAAAATATCTCTCCGTGAACCAACTGGCTATTCACTGCGGCCTAGTTCAACATTTTCGCCATCCACATAAAGAATGAAAATAATAATAATAATAATAGGTCATGGTTGGGGTGTCTCTCGTTGTGTGTGCGAGTCGATTGCCGGATGACGCAGAACTCAAGGAAAGTTACCTTGGCCTTTGTCTGTTCTTACTGCCTGGTGCATGGGGTGACTAGCATTGCCCAATAACAGTTGTCGAAATATTGAACATTCACTCCTCAAGCTAGCTATTGAGTAAGATGGGTTCAACCCTTTCATTCGCTCAGATGACCACTCATAGTTTTTGAGGGGGTGATGACCAGGCAGCGCAAATCGTCTCACTGAGTCACTTGCAGATACACTTTGCAAACTCGCTTACGCCCACGCCCGAGCAGTTGAGGCTCAAGCATGCTCTGCCTGCCTTTCTTTTAGCGTCAAAAGCCACATCTCGCGATGGATGAGGCTGGTGAGAGCTAAGTACTTAGTTGGGGGGGGGGGGAGTAAAACATCATACAGAGCTGCAAAGAACGTAACCCGTATTTGAGCATCTTTCGCGCCGAAGCCACACCCGGGGAGCCAGAGTTGTCCATCCGGGTTCATGTCCTTAGTCTGACTCGAGCCACAGACTAACAAACGAGCGAGGCTGGTGCTGGCCCCCTTTTCCCTCCTTGCACCGCCTCTGCCCTCCCAGCAGACTGACCACCCCAGCTGAGATGAACCTCAGACTTGCCGCGAATGGCTAGCGTCTCTCTTCCGAGCCTGAGCCCTCGCTTGTTGGCTGTCAGGGGCAGCACTCCTGTCCTCCCTCCCAACATCTCGCGCTTTGCTTCTTCTTCTTCGCGTTGGTTGTTGTCTTTCGCTTGCTCCTCGCCGGCTTTTCGATGTTTGACGTTGAAAAAAGGCGTTTCTATTTTTGCACGGTCACATGACACGAGCAAACAAAACAAACTTCTATTTATGGCTCTTTCTTTCTAAGCGCCAACGTCGAGCGTCAACAACGACAACAAGCAACGTTGGCCATACAAGACATCAACTGACAGCCATTCTGCGACAAGCACGGCCAGGGGGGGTTAAGGGGCCGGTTTGAGCCACAGAGATGGGTTGGGTCGCCTGCTCTAGAGGGTGTCCTTCCGCGCTTGCGCCTCAAACTCTCTGTTGCTCCCAGCACAGGCGATGATCTCCAAGCCGGAATGGAGACTTTTTCTCGTGTCCAATAGACCATTCCATAATAAGAAGACAAGAAGCTCGGTCTATAGAGTGAGAGCCGCTACAAAATACCCTTGATACTTAGAAGTGACAGCCATAATTGGGTTTCCTTAGTCGTGGGGGTTGGGGATATGCTTTGGAGGAATCGTGCTAGACGATTCTCCCTACCAAAACTTCATATTTGTTTTCGTATCAGCCTTGCAGTGAATAAAGATTTCTCTGTGTTGACGTCACGGAGGGAACTTCCAACTTGGGGTGGTGCAGACATTGCAAATCGCCTGTGCCATATCACTGATGACATGCTATGCTTTCGTGCCTTGTTACCGTGCCGACCCCTATGGTGACCCTCTTCGACATCTCATGTGTTCAGACCCAGAAATTCTGCCTTGCATTGCTCTGGTTTTAGTGACCACCAGTCCAGGCCAGAGTATGCATTTGTTTTCATTTGCCAGTGGCAACAGATCCCCAGAATACCTCAAAGATTAGGGAGACTGCATAGCCTACCTACGCCGTACTATCCTCAGTCTAGATTTATTATCCTCCCTCTCTTTCCCACATCATTTTTTTTCCCCCTGTTTCTTTTCCCTGCAGGTTGATCACCAATGAAACTGCGCAGGTTGGCGCTGGCCGCCGGTCTGTGACGTTCATGCATACTCATGTGGTTTATACTCCAGGCAGCAGTGCTCAGATTTTCCCCTCGCTGCTCGTTCCCACCCTTATCCCGGGCCAATAACTCTTTTGGAGTGATGAGCGAGCGGCGTCCATGCAGAATTTCTCTACCATGACTGGATCCTGCTCTCCACTACGGTCTGATATCCACTTCTACTTAGTTTACCTATCTTTCTTTTTCCTCCGTCATCGATGTCTAGAAAGCGCTATTCATTTCCATGTAAGCAGGAATTTGCCCGGGGTGATTAAAATCCCTCCCCCGTATCCTTGTTAACATACCCATACTCTCTCTCGGATGTCTCCCACTCCTTCTTGCTAAGCCCCGGCATCACCGAAGGTAGGATAGGCTCATCACAGTCACAACCATGGAGTAAGGCAACTTTTCATAGGTATGAATGACGCCGCTACTCCGAAGCAACCCGCTGCATCCAGTCTAGTCGTTCTATGCCAAGGTTCAGGCCTTTTACCAAATCTTCCGCCATACAGTGGTGTTGAAAATACGTCAATCCTACCGGCTGGGGTAAATTGACTATGTTTGCTTTCAAAATACGGCCACTACTTGCATATTGCTGCGGTTGCTGACCTGGTCAAGCAACCGGAAACAAGGCCTCCTCCGTAAGGATGGCATATCTAGCCTTATCTCATAAAACCAACACGGAGGAGTCATGGCCTGACATTATGTCAGGAAGACTGAATATTTCTGGCTGCGGCGTCCTTCCTCCCATCCCTTTTCCTTTTTCTTCCCTTTTTTTTTTTTTTTTTTTTTTTTCTTGTTCCTCTTTTGTGGCTGCTCTTCCTGCATGTTACCTAGTACAGGAAGAAACCCTAGTATAGCACGGCGCCATTTGGTCACAAAACGCGGCGCTACCACTCATAGCCCGGACCATATATCTGGAATATACATAGCTATAGTGTCCCGACTCAAAGATGCCTAACTAGTATCCTTCTTCATGAGCACTGCCTCACTACATAGCCATTGACCTCCTGGCTGCGTTTATGCATTCTATTTCTCGTTCAGCTTTCATTTGCCGCATTGCTAGACGCAAGCGTTACTGTAGGGACGGGGGACTATTTACGGCACTTGCCGTGCTAGAAACAATTTGTTTACTGTATGGAAGCTGTTGACATAAATCCAGGTGTATATCACATATTTCCAACCCAGTTCTCAACTAATATTGTCTGACATAGAGCATTTCACCGTTAGGCAAACTGTCGAAACTAGATCCCCGGAGTCGAATTTTACCCCTGACGAATATGATGAAGGTCCAAGAAGATGAGAGACAACGGGTTTTCCAGGCATACCGGCCACTCTTCGTTGGAGAAAGCGCGTTGATACGAAAGAAAAAGGCGATAATTAAGAGAATTGAGTCTCTCAAATGTCCTGATGCTGATTTGATTATGAACTTAGGCCGGGACAAAATCGTGGATATCTTACAGTCGCTGTTAACAGATGATGCTTTTGCCCCCAAACTTATAGCCAAAGAACCTCCAAGTGCAATATTGCTTCGTCAACAAACAAAAAAGGGAGCTAATGTTGACATATCGGCTCTTTCAAAGCCGACAGAACCAAGTTGCGATAATAGGGGGTCGGGAAAAAAAGATCAAAGCGGCGATATAGATGAAAATGTGGCTGATAAAGACCTGGAGAACTCCTCTTCTAAAGGTATAGGTCCTCTCTATGGCTACGCGCTCAGATACTTATGAAAGGTTGTGTATACTGATTGTTGTGTGTGTAGATGAAGTCGCAAGCCAAAATTCCTCAGATTATAGCTCGACAAATCTCTCCCATGCCCCATTCCCAATACAACATCTAGTTCTCACGAAGACCCAGACTCTCCTCGAGCAGGCATGCTTCGACTTTGCGTCCAAATGGGCTACTGAGCTGATATCAACGGAGATGTGGGACTGTCCAGAAGCCATTGAGCTGAGTAAATGGACCTTGGCCTTAAACAAAGTCATCCACAAAATTCCTATTCACGCCTTTAATGCCGAGGACTATCCGAACATAAGGTCAATCCTCCACTCTGGTTATGAGATCCGGAACATCGCTGTTCACCGTAAACGGATAAGCCTTCAGAAGCTCGAGGATATCACGCAGGCTGCGATTTTGTTTCTGCGAGCAATTCGTGATAACAACAGAGAGCTCCAGCTCTCCAATGTGCATGCTGTGATGAGTGTATTTATGTGGTCGTTAGAGTCCCGACGGCAGATCATCGAAGCTCGGTTTCGGGAAGAACTCGGGGACATACAGCGCCATCGTAAGGCTCTGGATCTGAGGGAAAAAGAGGCTGACGAAGCTATGAGAAAGGCGAATGCGAATGTTGACGACCTAACCAGGTACATGCTGGAGCATTCTCTACGGGAAATATTCGGTGGAAAAGTGTAGCTGCGAGAGATATCCGAAGTAACTTTGACCACAGTTGTGAGCGTAAATGTGTTAATAGAATGGCGGGTTTTGAATTTTGAGCATGCATATGTGGCGGAATTTCTATTCGCACCAGTCCTAGCCAAGGCGGGAAATGAACAACTTACAATCGCATTGACATGAATTATTCCCTAAGAGTTAAATATTCAAGGGTATCAAAAACCAACAGTGACATTGAGCACTCTATAATATACATCCTAACAACTCCTGTCCTTTAATAGCAGTAGAAATGTGCCAGGGAAGGCCATTATTTCCCCGAGAACAGACAAGTCCTCTTGTCCTAGTCAGAGAAGACATATCCCGAAATATACTTAGTAAATCCTTCAGGACGATGCTGGGAGGAATTCGACTTTGGAGATGTATCAGATTAACCATCAAAGAAGCTTTCCAGTCAGTGTCACTGGTGCCGCTACGATGAATAAGATATCCATTTGCAAGAGCCGGCTTGTAATTGGTGAACGAGTGGGAGTTATTTAAACGCTGTGATAGAACCAAGGCCCAGGAATCATCAGACTTGTCGACTAGGAGTGTTTCAGTATTTGTTTCCACCGATATCTGGGTAGGGTGAACCTGAAAGTGGGATTGGACCTGAGGTTGGGATGGTTCGGATGAAAAATTTGTTGTATTGGCTATATTGGGTGGGGTTGGGGCACTGGTTGATGGATCGGGAGAAGATATGCTGGGTTTTGGAGTAGAAACCGGAGTTGACATATTGCCAGATTGGTAGAGGGCGTTCAGTTGAGGCGGCGGAGGAGGTAGCTTCAGGTGAAGGTTTGGTTCTATATTTACGGTAAGTAGGATTAGATCCACGAGACCGGAGCGATGTTGGTTGTGGCGAGCCGCAAGATTCGTCCAAGCTATACCAAGTGGTCAGTACTTTTTTCTTTTCATAAATAACAGCCTTAGGGCAAGAGCTGGATTTATACCTGTTATTTCCTCGGCATCCATTGGCTCATCCTTTGCAAGAACAACACGCCAACGACAGCGAGACATTCCTGTCATGTCCACGGTCACTTGCCAAATGTCTTCTCGAACTTCAGCTAGTGGTCTACAAGTATGAGAGACGTCTTGTCGCAGTGAGTATGACAGGGTTAGCTGGCGCAAGCCTAGGTTATCACACCATGCCGCAGTAACCCACCGCTGATCCTGACTAACAGAATATGCCACATGGCATGCCTGTCCAGCATCCATGGGAGAACCTTCCTCTGAGGTTAACCGGAAAGGAATCATCTTTGGGACAGATGTTGCTAGGGTAAATGCAGGAGCGCCCGCAAACATATCCGATATGGGATCTTGTGGGGGACAGCGGGAGTAGACCTCTAATGCAAGTCGGAGATAGTCATTTTGTGTGGGTATTACCAACGAATCATCACCAGTGATGAAGTCGGATGGGACTATCTGCAACACCAATTCATTGAGGCGACGGACTGAACGCTTGTCAGCCTCTTCCACATATTTACGAAAGAGACGTAAGAAAGCTACACATATATCAACCATCGCTGCACCTATCCTGAAAGGATTAATGATGTACACAACGACGGTTTTGTTGTTCATCGATAGATTTGACAGCGCAGTTCCTATTCCAGTGTTAATACTAATGGAAATTTGGGGAAGGTTTATCTAATACGTACCTAAAGATTCACAGATATGCAGTAACTTCCGCATAATTGATGTATAGTCTAGCTTATCCTGACTCAGGGACCATGGAACCAAACCCTTTGCGTTACCATGACGGGCGAATGTACCAAGATTGGCACCCAAATATGTTAGACCCAGCCTATCAAGGAAGGCATTGGCGCTCTCTTGCATAGACACAGGGTGTAGGCAATAGGAAATGATATCCTTCTTGCCCTTGAGAGGCTCAAGGCCGAATGTCTCCCAAAAGGAGATAGCGGTTGGTAATACTTCGAGAGAGCAATTTCCACGCCTGATTTGCATATGAGGTGGCCTTAAATTAATGATGGCGCCGCCCGTGGTATCCTTTATTTGCTGGCTGGGTCCAATGTCACTTATGGATGCATAACACTTAAGGCTGGGCCTGCGAGATTGGCCCAGTGCGTTGATGTCATCTATTGATGCCTGCCAAATATCTTTCTCATTCTCCTCATAAGTGATCTCCGTTTTATGCGTTAAAGTAGATTGAGTTATTTGGTCGACCAAAAGCTGTGCCACATGGAGCGTCTCATCTCGACCGCAGAGAGCTGAGCGAATGCTGGGTTCAAACGCTGTAAAATAGCTTGACAATAACCAATCAGTAGCTGGGTAGACAAGCCCAGCTAATAGCACATCCTCTTCCAAATCAGAGTGTGTTGTGTAAGGTTTTCTAACATTAAATCCAGGACTTTGTAGAGAGGAACTAACTGAGAAGATTTCTTCCAAATCTCCCCTCCTCAACCTGTTATCGATGGGATCTACAGGGCGCATCTTATTGAATCCAGCCTGTTCATAGTGATTCCCTGAAACAGAGGACGTGGAGGAGGTAGAAGACGAGCATCGTTCGCTGTCTGCGCTATCCAAGCGTTCGTTGATTTTATGAGGGTATGTCTGCTGCCCTAACTTATAGAATGGTACTGACGGATCATTAACCATGGGTATTTTCGTCGTATGTGAATCGGCATTGTGATTGAAGGTTTTATGATCAGGGAGGAACCAGAATCTACCATCAATCCCATATTTTCTGTCGGAGAAGTCCAGCTCATGTTGGAACGATATTGCGTCATAACGACCTTTATGTTGCCCTGGTTGACTGCTTGCTTCCACTGGAAGGTTTGTGGCAGGGGTTATCGTGTTTTTGGGCTTCTCTGAATTCCCTTTAGGGCTTGAAAATAAGATACGTTTTACCCCTGATGGGCTTAGTGGTGGGCTTATTGGACGTTCCGTATTCCTATGTGTGTCGGCCTCTCTAGTCGTGGGTTCGCTGCTTTTAATTCCACTGTGTCCTTGATCTGTGCCTTCTTCCACAGCATTGTTTAACATTGGAGTTTGCATTCTATGGGGCTCGGTAGGCGGAGCTGGTTCTAGAGAGGCGAGTGACTCACTCATCTCTAGATCTGGCTTTGATTCTGCTGTGGGATGGTCTGATATGACAAAATTATGGCTCGGGTTCCCAGAGTCAACATCCAAGTTGGTGTCAGAGAGTCCAGGCTCGTCAAAAAAATTGAAATCCGCCTCAGTAATTCCTTTGTTATCAAAATTGTCATCCATCTCTTCGAATAAGTCATCATCGGCCGTGTCATACATCCCAGTACCGGCACCAAGCCCAGGAGACGTTGCTTCTAGCAAAGATCGGGTATTAGGGTTTAAGGATTCGGTTATGTTAGCATCGGGGTCCTCCCTAGAAATATGGGGTAATTCAAGAGGGTACTGCCCGCCAGAGTGGTCGGAAGAAAGTTGCCCGAGGCCTAATGCACCTCCTGGAGGAGTTGGATATACCGTAGCTGGATGGAAATCTGGATATACTAATGCTCTTGCCATGCTCTCAGTTGTGTTTGGGATATCAATTCCATCGGGGGATGCCAGTGTTTCGCTTTGAGGGTGTTGCTCGGGGTGCTGAGCTACATCTGATGCAGCATTCCGTGATAAAACTTCGTCTCTAGGTACAGAGCATTTTAACCACTGGCGAGCATACTGTAGAGGGCCCAGACTGTCGCGGGATAAAGTCTCAGCTCCTTGAATTGGAGAGCCAGTGGGGAAACGGGATTTTTTGAAACATAACTGTGCTGGCCAGTAAATTCTTCGGGTACCAGTAGCCTTACCCTGGCCTAACCGTTGATGACGGGTTACCACTTCAACCTGTACCCATCTCATGTTATCTGATATTCCTATAGGAACTCCCGTTCTCTCAAGCCAGGAGCAAACCGCCAATTTCCATGGGTCCTGTACCTCGCCAGAGAACCCATTCCTTGAACCATGTATGTTGGAATGATATGAGTTGCCGGTACCGAGTGCATATTCACTACCCCCTATACCTATATACCTTGCTATTGTTCCTGTGGGAGCAAGCCATATATCGTCATGCAATCGTAATTCACCAATGCTACTGACCACAGGGCCTTCTGAAAGTTGGCTTATCCCAGGTTGGGATCTGGATCGAAGCGATATGACCACCTTGCCACTTTGGGACAATTCTATATCCAGTGTTGAAAGAATGGAGGCAGAAGCACCGCCAGGGGACATGTCGGGGTCTGCGGCTGTGAAGAAGGTCCGTTTCCCGAGGGGTATGGCCCTATAACGCTTAGTCAAATGAAGCGACAGTGACCAGGCTATTGAGCTAATGAACGACGCATATAGAGATGAATGCGTTAGTTCCAAGGATGCGGGTATCTCTAGCTTATTTCTTCTCGATAGATTCTCAGCCAGACTAGAATTTCGGGAGTTTTCTGAGGCTTTGGATAGTAGCTTTTGAGAAAGTTCAGCTACAGACGTAGTTCCTCCACAATATTCTATAAAATCTAGTCAGCAATTATCCTTGTATAATAACATAGGTGTAAAGAAATAAGAGTAGCGTACCGTATATCGGCACCTGCCCAACAATTAGGCCTTCTGCATCCTCGCTCTGATTTGATGCGAATGATTTTAGTCTAGAAAACTCGGTATCAAGGGAGAACACCCAAATTCCAGTTCCATCAGAAGACGGGCACGTAAGACACCCAGCCTCTCGTAGTGCTAATGCACATATTTGGATTTTCTTAAAGAGCTGATTAACGGAAGCCCCAGAGGTCCCAAGATCACTCCCGTTGGAATCAACTCCATAAACTTTCCAGTGGCAGGTTGAGAGTTCATCCTGATTAGATATTAGTGTTAACTGCATCAACATAGCTTGCTGTTGTAAAATAGACATACAAAGACTCGACCGTTGGTTTCCGCTCCGATTGGAAACTCCATGATTGCTAAAAATTTCTGCGCAGAGATAACTTTTCGCCATTGAGAGTAGAAGAACAGAAGAGAAATATGCCCAAAATCCCCGTGGCAGCATCTCTAATAGCAAGATCCAGTAGTGATATGACCATATATGTGACTGGACCTCTCCTTGAAGCCTCCAGGGATGAGAGACCACCTAAGGCATCACGTCACACTTTCAGGGGTGGAAAGTCACATAAAGAGTAGTGGTTCATCCACACGGAATCTGGTATCAATAATGACGACGACTAGAGATGAGACAACCCGTGAACACCAGGAGTTGGATTTGATATCATCATCTTCATCCTCGCGCGTTCGAAAACGTTTTGATTTGACCTTCAATTAAGGTTGCGCTTATGTAAGATAGATCCCCCACGTGATGTAAAGCTTAGATTAAAGTTTAAGATAAAAATAACCTTTTTTTTGTTCGAGGAAATTTTTTGATATTCAACAGGACGAAGAGGAAGTGAAAAGGCAGTGAAAAGGGAGCAGCAGGGTGTTAAGCGAGGATGAAGCTTTCCAACCATTCAGCGGTGCCAGTGTACACGATATCTGGCTCGTCTACTGCTAGGCCTCTCCCAGAATGGCTAGCTAGAAGACGGAAGCGAAGCTTGAAAGCAGACGCAGAGTATTCGAACCGGGTAGAACTGCTGCAAGATTTCGAGTTTGAAGAAGCAAGTCAGTGTATTCGGGTTAGTGAGGATGGGCAGTGGGTGATGAGCACAGGTCAGTATTGTCGAGTGTTTCCAATGAACAGATGGATTTTTAACTGGAAACGACACAGGTACCTACAAGCCTCAAATGCATGTACATTACCTACCACATTTATCTCTATCGTATGCCCGCCATACGATATCCTTAAATACGACATTCTTGCTCCTATCATCAGATTATTCAAAATCACTTCATTTACAATCAGATCGGTCCCTGGAATTCCATACGCCCTCTGGATGCCATTACACCACCCGACTGCCTCGATACGGCAGGGATTTGGTGTACGATAGACAATCCGCAGAAGCGCTCACACCCGCTGTTGGAGTCAATGAAAACGGCATGGGAGAGGTGTTTCGGTTGAACTTGGAGCAAGGAAGGTATATGCGCAGTTACGAAGTTGAAGTTGGAGGTGATGATTTCACCTCTCTTGGTGGAGGAGCCCTTCAAGGTGGCATACACACGGGAAGTGTTAACACTGGAGCAGTAGCCGAGGAAAGCCATAATCTGCTTGCTTTTGGAACGTCCATTGGGACTGTGGAGCTCTGGGATCCTCGCGCAAAAGCCAGAGCGGCTATTCTTCCATCTTACACAAACGAGAAATCGGAAATCACCGCCCTAGAATTCAACAGGTCGGGGCTTACTCTTGCCACAGGGTCGTCTACAGGTCTCATTCATTTATACGATCTTCGATCTCCCATTCCCATTCTCGAAAAGGACCAAGGCTACGGCTACCCCATCCACACATTAACCTTCCTTACTTCATCTATATCAACCCGCGAGCAGACAAGTGACCCGAAAATCATGTCATCCGATAAGCGCATTATCAAAATATGGGATCAACGGGATGGTACTCCATGGACGTCTGTAGAACCGGCTGTTGATATTAACAGTGTAGCCTGGTGCAAGGATAGTGGTATGCTATTAACGGCCAACGAAGGAAGGCAGCAGCACTCGTTCTTCATTCCACAATTGGGGCCTGCACCAAAGTGGTGCGCATTCCTGGACAACCTCGTCGAAGAAATGGCTGATGACCCTAATGACCCCCATGCATTTGCTACTGGTCAATCCGGCTCAGTTTATGATAATTACAAGTTCCTCACTGTTCCTCAGTTACGTACTTTGAACTTGGACCATCTCATTGGGACCACTACATTACTACGTCCATACATGCATGGTTACTTCGTTGCCCAACGCTTGTATGAAGAGGCACGACTTATCGCCAACCCGTTCATATGGGAAGAAGAAAGAGATAGAAAAATCAAAGAGAAGATTGATAAAGAGAGAGAAAGTCGTGTTCGCGGAAAGAAGAAGGTTGCAGCAAAGGTTAACCGAAAGCTTGCAGAGAGACTGCTTGAGAAGGAAGAAAAGAGAGAACGGCTTCAGGCCCGCAGGGTATTGGCGCAAGGAGGAGATGATAATGCCAAGAAGGAAGAGAATGGCACCGGCCCTGCCGAACCAAGTACTGGTGGCTTACTTGGTGATTCACGTTTCAGCAAGCTGTTCGATGATCAAGACTTCGCGATTGATGAGAACTCCAGGGAATACCTTCTCACTCACTCGGGCAATGCTCCTGTGACTGCCCCTAAGCCCGAGAGAGGATTGACAGCTGTTGAGGAGGAAGCTATTGATGAAGTTCCAGGTTCAAGCTCAGATGACTCGTCTTCGGAAGATGAAGGCCCACGATCGAAACGGGAGCCGTCTTCTAAACAGATATCTACTGCTTCTTATAGACGAAGCAAACCCAAACAGCCTCAGATGCAAGTGACCTCATCGTCTAAGGCCTCACGCACGCACGATCGTTCATTTGAGTCCAGAGTTCGTAAGCACCAAACCAAGGAGCGCCCTTCAGTGGCACGATCAGGGGGGGAGAAAACTGTCACTTTCGCACCCCAGCCGAAACCCAAGCCTAGACCAGCGGCCGACAATATTGATCGGACGAGCTACCAGAAGAAAGACCGCAGAAGTGCCTCCGGAAATACGTTCAGAAACATGTAATAGTGGCGTTGCTCATATACCCGTTCAATATCTTTTAGGAAACCCCGTATTGCCAATACGGATAATGCCTACGTCTCCCTTGCTCGGTACCTACATGGCATTTACAGGCAAGTCTACGGCTCTATGTAGCCAACCGGAACCGATATCAGGCCTTACACGGTACTCAAATGTGACATGTTACGGTCAATGGCTAATTTGAATATCCTTGAATGCCTCGACTGTGATGAGAAACAAAGTCGACTGGCAAATGCTGGTAATTATTGATGGCCAGGCTGAGAATTAATGAGCCTAGTAAACCGAGCCTCTACCGCCAGTTGCTATTTGACCTGCGACGAGACTTCAGTGAGGTTGTTTTTCAGCAAGCAGGAAGAAGTCATATCGGGCCTTGAGGTTCCATCGGGCTTTGATAGCCTCCGATAAGATGCTCAAGCCTCGTCTATTTTGTACAACCCTAGAGCTGCTGCGTCTAAGAATGACAAAAATTATGATAACATGCATATATAATGAAAGGCATAACCACATCTATTATTGGAACTCCTACCCCGGGGGGGAAGACTAATCAATCACTCTAAGCACGGCCGCACTCTACCTTGGCTACAATCTCGTTGACTTTCTCCAGGCTTGCGCCGGTTCCTTTCTCATACCTCTCCCAGAAGTTACTTGTATCGTTCACCCTCGGGTAAGGAACATCAGGGACAGGCACGCCCAAGAACTTGCAGAGAGGCTCCCATCCATCCTTCGCCTCGAACTCGAGTAAGTTGTCCGCTGGAACTAAGTCACGGACCATCTGGTAGTGCTGTTCCCAGACCTCCTTTCCATTCTTGCGGAAATCGCCGTGAAACAAATGTCCCCATAGCAGATTGAGCATCTCCACTCGCTTCCCTTGGATACCCAGTTCCCTGTTGGCAATATGGGCCTTGTGAATAGTGTCGAGAACAGAACTGAATAGGAGTCAGAAATTGAATCATGGGTATATTGTAGTGTATACTGCAATGCGATACTTACGTATACCATTTATCAACATCTCTCTTGTTCAGCACAACCTTAGCATCCGGATAAGCCGCTACGAGCTCAGGAATAAAGACGCAACCGGGAGCGTCGGTCGTAGCCTGGAGGCAAGTAAGCTTTCCGTTTCCAGGAAGTCTTTTATAATTTGAGAAGATGTATTTGGCATCATACCTGGCAATGGCCCAATAGAGCGTCCCAATCCTTTTTTTCAAAACTGCCGACGCCTTCGAATTTCGCACGCGTAGCATCAATCCACATTTCGCAATCCCTCTGGTTCTCTACGGCGCAGGAATACATGTGGTATGTGTCTTCGAAGCCGAGCATTTTTAGGGCTGTCCTGAGAGCTGGTTGATAGATCAGTACAACACTATAGCCTGGGTGAATGAGTGATCTGGCGATGGGCAGCAGAGCCAACATACAGAATGTTCCGGTGCGAGGCATCCCCGCACATATCACTTTCATAGGGACCACGCGGGTACATGTTCGCCTGTCAATATCAGTGATTACTGGGTTCTCCATACTTGATATATAGATAACAAATATTTCGCGTATTTGGAAATGGCAGAAGATTCAACGCTGAATATTCAATTTGAGAAGATGTAGTAGATCGATGAGCACAGAGCAGAACAGGCTAACAGCGTCTCATTTATACCTCAGTCTCCTGCAGCATTTCTTATTCGCACCATGTACCCCACGCATTCGTTTGTAGGCCGGCCTTATTGGCCATGGGTGAGAATCCTTGAGTTCCCTCGCGAACGCTTCAGAGGGTTGAAAGGCGGGCTGTAAGGTGCCGATATCCCGTTTGAAGAGCTCATAAGATACAACTTTCAGAGTGGGCAGGCGGCCCGGGGTTTCTTTGACACTTGCTATCTCCGACCCTGGCGGCCTTATTGACCTGCAATACCTGCGCACCCCCTCAGCCCACGAACAGGGGCTACGGAGTTATATGCGGCCCGGGGATAGCGCGAATAGCCCGCCTGCGGCTGTTTGCATGAGACTATAAAGTTCGGTCCTCGGACAGAACCACCCACCCCGCAGCTAACTATCTGGCACAGTGTACCGCGAAGCTTGTCTCACAGAAATCCAAGCCACCGCTTGAAGTACATGCTCTGTACTCCGCACTTTGCAGATTACAGTGTTCCTTGAACTGTAAAGAAAAGAGAATCATTGATCGGACTTCCTATGACTGTAAGTCGAAAGGCTGAGGACCATCTGCTCGAGAAGTCTTCAGCCTTGAGCCACTCTGCGACTCGGAGGTCGAGCTTCACGGATCTGCACTCTGTGGAATACAGCGATTGGTGGGCATGCAGGTGATGCATGCCCTCAGACGCCCTCCAACAGAGGGACAAAAACGTATTTGGAGAGCCAAAGTTGTACTCAATAATAGATACTTGTACGGGTTAGCCAGGGTACGACGGATCCAGGGTTCATTTGGATATCATTTTCAGACCAGCTGGACAGACACCACAGGAGTTATCAGGATCAGCTAAGGATTGATCTGTCTGGAGGAGCCCAGCCAAGCCGGAACGACGATTTCCGAATTCCACGCAAGGGCGCCGACACAGGAAAATAGCAGCAAATAAACCTGCAGCTGTTTGCTGGGATGTTATGAAGGATGACAATGAACTGACGAAGCAAACTAGTGTCTCCCCCTCGGTCGCAGACAACGACCGACCGTCCGAGAACATGTTACGACTGACCCGGTCAGCATCTCGGAGAGACAGTAGGATGCAAGTCGGGCCTCCACGCAGCTGAACCTCGCTTCATCCGTCTCGCAACTTGACGTCTTCCCTCGAGAGTCTCTGATATATCGAAATTTTGACCTCGACGTTCCAACTTCCGCTTCTGGTCGAACCGATTACTAAGCTTAGTTATTTATTACTAAGCATCGCTGTAATGACGTAATACTTTAAAAATAAGGGCAAAAAGACGTCAAAAGACAAAAGACGAGCAAGATACGAAATATTTCAGTCGTCCTGCAAGGATGCAACAGTTTGATAGTCTGGAGGTGTATGGAGTAGCGATGCTCCATTTGTCCCCGGATATACCTCGAAACATTGGAACTAATCTACAGCCCACCGGAATGCTGAAGTCCCGAGTTAAAGTGAGGATATCAAAAACTTCTACACACAACTCTACCCGAGTTCCGGAGTACATCTTAGCATCTTGACAGCGCATGGTATACCCCAGGAAGCCTAGGTGGTGATGACAACTACTGCATCAACGGCCGGTACGTTTCCTCCGGCCGAACCAATAGTGCTTGAAGGGAGATCGGGATTATCAGTCTATGTCCCCGATATGAATCCCCCTGGGCCTGGAAAAAGTTGTCCACCCATACCTAATGGCTAAGCGTGAGCTGTTACGTCTACGCCCTTTGGGATATGGAATTTATGTTCCCCTTGTCCTCAGTAAAAATTCGTTCGTTCCGCAGAGACCCAGAGTGAAGTCCTGCATATACGGGACCCCCCAGTGGAGTAAAATGTTGAAAATCCACTACGCTGGTATTTGCCCATCGACAAGTGGGAAAACATGCTTAGTGTGTCTTTGATGGTTGATTCTCAACATCGTACCTAAGGTTTCAATCCCAACCATCTCGAGCCACACGAAGGAATTCTGTTTATATAATTAGAGTACTGAGCTTCTGTACAATCTCCGACTCACTGCGTCGGCTCCGAGTAACAGGTAGTAGGATGACTGTCTGTTTCGTTGTTATTGCGGCCTTGTTGATATGCATAGTGATGATATGTTACTTATTGAACTACCATGGCCAATGACTATCCTATTGACCAACCTACAAATAACCGTAGAATAAGAGATCACTTTCTCTATCTGTCTCTCTCTCTTTGTCTCTCTCCTGTTTTTATACATATTTTATTCTCAAGGCAAAACCCTTTGCTAACTAGCGGAGCCGCACGGGATGCCAAGCCTCATATGATCACACAACTAGATAAATTCCAACAGTTGCGGTTGCGGTTCCTCAAGACAACAAGCAAACCAACCAACCCAGGGCGAGTAACCATATTAACCGTCCCGCGGCAATTGCTTCGCTATAGAGAAATCTGGCGGGGTGACAGCCCGAGTAACTGCAAGCTTGGCCATATATCAGCACTTTATTGGGGGCATAGCTAATAGCCATGGCGTCCCCCGCCACTCTTTTCATGACGCCGGCGGAGACCCAGCGGATACAAAAAACAGCCCAGGAACATGCCCAGGAACGCCAGGGGAAGGCTGGCCAGCCTCGAGAGGCCCATGACACGAAGGCCCTGGTCCAACAAGCCGTTGGAAAATCCGTGATGGATGACTTTGCAGCGGCAGCTTTAGATATGGGTACACTGCCAAAGGACAAGACCGAAGATACCGTGCCAGCATATGCAGTTGGGTGTCAATATCTGCCCTGCACAGCCAGCTTGGCAGATCTAGAGCCCATCAAGTTATCAGACCTTCGTATGGAAACGCACCATCGCGGCCGAGTGCTCTCTCTCCGCCGTATCTCCCCAGTGGTCAAGCTAAGATCGTCTAGCTGGACTATCGTGCAGGAAGCAGGCTCGGATGACGCAGACAGGCTTGAGCTGTCCCTCCACAACACGAGGAGTGGAGAAGATATGTTAGACTCTGCCTCAGCATTCTTCATTAAGGAGCCTTATTATACCCTTAATACCAACCATGAATCTGTGATTCGCGTCGACCACCCCTCGGATATGATCATTACCACGTACAGTGACAGCCCGTCCTCATGGCGGAATAACACAGGCAACAAGGACTCGGCATCCACTGCCTCTAAATCGGCTACCCAGTGTAAGGAAGAAGGAAATGCGGCTCTTGGGAAAAAAGCATACTGGAGGGCCCACGCCTGCTACTCGGATGGTTTGAAATCGATTCCAAAAGATGACGATAGCACACTACGTAAGGATATCTATCGAAACCGTTCTTACGTCAACCTTCTCCTGCAACGTTACGACGAGGCAATATCTGACGCATTCGCCTCTCTCACTCATGGAACTGAAGAGGAACAGAAGGCCCTTGATGCAAAGGCCTATTCTCGTGCCGGTAGTGCAGCATACAGCCTTGGTGATTTTGAGAGAGCCAAAGGCTTCTTTGAGGAGCAGGAGAAACTCCAGCCGGATGATCGACTGGTCAAGATTAACCTGAAAAGAATAAAACTGCGAGCCCAAGAGAGGGAATCAGGTATATATGATCTACAGAAAGTGGCATCCAGCCTTTCCAAATTGCAGGGCCGAGCTGATGTCGCAAGCTACTATGGATTCACTGAAATCAAAGAGAGCCCAGGAGCCGGACGTGGGCTCTTTGCGACGCGTGACATAGAGCCTAACGAAACAATCATGTACGAGAAGGCGTTCTGCGTCGTCTGGAGCCACGACCCGGAGGCAATGTCGTGTCTGACCATTGACATGCGAGACAATGCTAAAATCAGAGTATTCCCGTCTGGTCTTCACAAAGCTATAGTACAAAAACTAATGAACAACCCTTCCCAAGTGGAACGCGTATTGGCTCTCTGTGGAGAATACGAAGGACTGGGTAACAAGCTTCGCGAAATTGATGGCCAACCTGTCCTGGATACTTTCCAACTGCATGATATCGTGCAGCGCAACGCCTTTGGACCTGGCCAACAGACCGAAAATGAAGATGTCACCAATGCTAGTACCGGGCTCTGGTCTCGGGCATCATATATCAACCATTCCTGTGTCGCAAATACCAAGAAAGATTTTATCGGTGACCTGATTATCCTGCGTGCTACTCGTCGAATTTTAGCCGGGGAGGAACTAACTCATTGCTACGATGAGAACAGTGATTACAGCACCAGGGTAGCAACCATTGAGCGAACATGGGGCTTCAAATGTCAATGCAAGCTCTGTGCTGCCGAGGAGGCGGATGGCGAGGAATTACGTCAAAAGCGTGCAAACCTTGAAAAAGAGGTCGGCAATTTTAGGAAGAAAGAAAGCGCACAGCAGCCAAAGAAAATTGCCATCATCAGGGCCAAGCGTCTGCGTCAGAATATCCTCGACACTTACGATCAGAACAAGTACAAGGACCTACCACGCAAAGCTCTCTTTAACATTGAGCAATGGCTGCAGGCAGCTCGTGCCTTGTAGTTCTTATGGGGAAGAAAATGTATGGTATATACCGGGTACTGTGCCGCCGAACCTATATATTTACCAACGTCAAAATTATCCATGTATCTAGATATTATCAACAATAAAAAAAACCATTCTTAGAGTACCATTATGCTCAGAGTTTGAAGTATCCAGGCTCTAGACGTTGAAAGATACCTTCGGGGTCATATTTCTTAGCCACTTTGTGAAGCCGTTCAATATTGGCCTTTCCGTAGCTTCGAATAGGATCCTGCTTGACACTGGCATAATTCATATAAACAAAGTCATTCCAGAGGCCTCGTTCCTCAGCCTTTGCTTTTGCTGTCTCAAGCCAGCCAACATATGCGTCGATGACAACTTTATCATCTTCTGCGTTCTCCCATCTTGCACTGGGATTCATGATGATAATGGGTTTTGTATCATCTAGACCTAATGCATTACCGCCCCGTCTGGCCATTGGTTTGAGCATCGGGGTACCAATCGGTTCCAGTGAATATACCGGTAGATACCCCTTGACATTCTTTCGTAGAGGGTCGATAGCTTTAACCCAAAGGTCCAGGAGGTCCGAGAGAAGCTGCGCATCAGCCTCGATCGTTGCTGTCCAGTAACTCTCCCTCAGGCCATTGGGATTGGCATCGTTGAAATCCGTTGCAATCTGTGCCAGTGTAGAAGACTTTACTGTGTCCATCACCCGGCCTGGTTCAGCAAATATCCCGTCAAAGACCGCAGGATGGGTGCTGTTGTCCTTCATAGGCTCGGCATATTCCACTTGAGCTACGCAAATATACTGATCGAACTGCTGGATGTATACAACATTCACTATCAATGCAGACTTGGGATCCTGTTCTGCACCGTGCCTGGTATATTCAGCCAAATGCCGGAACATGCTCGCATTCTGAGCCCCTGGGTATACCAAGTTCCCTCCCCACATCTCTCCCCGTCTTAAAGGGTATGAAAAGACCTCAAACTTAGTGACTAGGCCGAAGTTGTTGCCACCACCTCGGAGGGCCCAGTATAGATCAGTATGTTGATGGGAACTTGCAAGAACAATATCACCAGAAGCCGTGACAACTTCGAAACTTCGAACATTGTCCGCCGCCCATCCGTATAGGTTGCTGAAGAAAGAGATGCCTCCTCCAAGTGTCAGGCCACAGACACCGATATCAGCCACCCTGCCGCCAACAACTACCAGGTCTTCTTTCTGGAGCCGCGAGTAGGCGTTGAGCCATGTGTTCCCTGCACCTAGAGAGACAGTACGTCTATCTTTGCTTACAATAATGCTCTTGAGGGAGGAAAAGTCGATGGTCAGACCACCGGCAATATTTGAAGCACCCGCCATAGCAGCATGACCCCCTGATTTTGCTGCAAAGGGGCACCCGGTACGGTGGCAGATTTTGATAGCAGCAGCGACATCCTGTGAGTTTTTAGGACGGAAGAAACATGTCGGAGATGTTTCCGATTGCTGAGAAGACCAGAACTGCGTCTTTTCCTCGTCATAGACGGTGGTATTCGGCAGACTGACCTGGTCTGCAAGCTTGCTCGTCAAAGCTTTGCACTGTATGAAATTGTTAGTTATAAATTGTTATTACATGAAACAGCATCATTGCCCTAGAAAGACTTACTGCCTGGACGCAATAGTCTGATATTGCGCTGGGTTGGCTCTGAGTCGCCAGGGTATCAACCGAGAACGCAGCAAGCTCAAGGCCTACCGCCAGTTGCTGACGGAAAAATCTCATCTCTGCTGGTGACCTCAAGTGTTTATTAAATGAATACGCTTGATTGCCCATCGCAACGGCCAGAAAGAACTGGCAACTGCCCCGTATTTCACACATCGATAATTGTTAAGCCTTCATGAAGGATCACCAATCAAAATAGAACCTGGCTGAAGGATTTTGTTCTTGTTCTGATGATCAGTTCAAAGCTAACTAACTGGCACCCGGATTGAAATATTGTGATTGCTTTGTTCAAAAAGACTTGAGACCCTTCTATAGTTATATCAATGTTAGGGAATGGCAGGTTGACTAACGTATAATAAAAAACCGTGATATTATGCTACTATGGAGATCTCGTTATACACAACGCGTGTTGAATATATCACATAGTACCTGATCCCATTTATCCCTATATGTCCATTCTCTTTGCCCTAGCAGCCTAATATGTGTTATGAAGTCGAATCGAATCGTGATGTCTATGGTAAAACGAAGGAAGACAAAAAGACAGCAGACCAACGCCCGAAGCCGAACCGAAGCCCAATCAACCGGCCGGTGAACCACGGTAACTATTTAAACAACTCAATAACCAAAAACAAAAAAACAAAACAAGCAATCGATACCAATCCAACTAACAAACCAATGTGCCAAACTGTAGTTCAAGGGGGAAAAAATAAAGAGGCTGCTGTGCTTTATTTGAGCAGAATAGATGTGAGATATATGGCATGGTTCTTTCCAAAAAAGAAAAGAAGAGAAAAGAAAAATGTTGGTAGAAGATATGCGAAAGAATAAGAAGGGCGGGGTTAATAGGGGATTAGAAGACCAAACCTGTCAAAGGCACCGCGCCATGTAGTACCAATGTACTCGACAAACAAATAGGAAGCCAATGCAAAGGATAAAAGTAACAAAAGGCTGCTGAGGGCAGGAATGAAGATGAGAAGCCAACTTATCCACAAGTGGTCTGCATCCGTATGGTAGGGGAAGGGAGCGAGGACGAGTGAGTATTACCACTTAAAGCGGCAAGTGAGGCGAGTATGATGTATAGTGGTAGCGAGATGGTGACGAGTAAGAGGGCTAACACGGAGACAGCAGCTAGTGCGATCTGTGTGGGCTTGGGTATGTGGAGGTAGAAGGGCATGGGCATGGGCATGGGCATGGGCATGGGCAATATGGTAGGGACACCGCCAGCGTCCAACCACAAACACCATCGTGGACCTGAACAAGAAGACAAGGCTCTCCGTCAGAACAAGAACAAGAATGGGGTAAGAACATGATCACGTATCAACGTAGAACTAGAACCACTTAAACCGCCATGTGTAACGGAGTGTAGGAAAGACGGGGGAGATGGGTATACAACAACAAAAAAAGAACCAAATTAATCCCAAGGATGAAATGAGCAGGGATTCCCACCGCCAGAACCAGAGCCGCCGCCACCATCACTTTCTCGATTATTCTCGCGATCTCGACGTCTGTCGTGGTCTCGTCTTGATTCATGGGTAGTTGTGCGGTGACTGATTCCCGCTCCGAAATCCGACATAGTGAATAATAGTGGTTCATCCTCGTCCATAATTCCATTACCGTGAGGGTTGGGACTCGATGAAGGGTTTACATTGCTCCATGGTGAACGGGCGGTGCTGAACCTTCTTGCGCTAGCTCGTCGTGCATGTGTATGTGAGGGATGTGCCTGTGGTTCTCGGTCAAGCGGTTGAGGAGTAACGCGAGGCTGGTAAGGCAAAGCTGTTCTGTCTTTTGTATTCTCCGCGTCAAGAGTCTGAGGGCTTTCCGTTTGGCGTCTGTCGACCGGGGATGGGACTGCAGGGTGGTTCTCCGCATCCGGACTCGCAGACTGCAGCAGCTCGCTGATAGATGGCGGGGATCTGTCTTGCGCTCCTAGACTGATACTTCTGGTAGTTGTCGGGAAGGGCAAGAAGTCAGGAACATCTTCGTCTCCTGTTGCGGTGTTGTTTGAATTTGCTGTGCTAGTTCGACGCTGAGCAGCAGAACTGGAGCGACGGAAACTAGAAATGAATGCTCCCCGGTGATGTCGGTTATGTGGAGAGGCAGGCAGCGGTATATCAATCGCATTGGCCGTAGTAGTTATTTGGGATGGTGGTCCTGATTCTGATTCTTGGTCAGGCTCAGAGGCTTCTCCCAGGGGAGATTCATGGCGAGGAGCGCGACGCGAGCGGGTATTTGTGGTAATGATATGGCCCGGTTCGTCGGGACTAGGATACTCAATCACGCTGTTTGAGCTCAGCCTAGATGGAACAGCTGGGGTATGTGGTGTATGTGGGGAGATAGCTTTGCCCGGAGATGATGATATGGATCCTGAGACGCCGCTAGGTAGCGAGTTTGCTGCAGCCGTAGATGTCGGGTTGCTTGTTGCGGCTGGAGGAAGGTGTTTGCTAGATGAGGAGGCAGTTGACCGATGTAGTAAGAGAGACGAAGTCATAGAATCTGACAAGGCGGTATTAGTGTCCTTCATCTTCTGGAACCTAGATAGTGTTGCTGTGGTAGTCCTTCTGCTCGATGCCGGATCGAAAGTCGAACCATCAGGACCGTTGGATAGCAAATCCTTCCGCTGGTCCAGCATCTTGAGAAACTCAGAGATGTTGTCTTCATCAGTATCGACCACAGGGAAAACACCAGAGGTCGAGTCTCGCTGTCCTGTTGCCATCGCTGACGATGAACTGATGCTTGCTTTTCCACTCGAGTTATTGTCTTCTTCGGTCTTGCTTCCTCCGCCGGTAGAGAGGCGGCCACGTCTGTGGCTGAACGAGCTGCTATACTTTGAGATAGGAGCTTGTTTTGGAGAAGCAGACATCGAGGAGAAGACAGCCTGGTCGGGCAAAACGTGCGCTGAGAGAGGGCGGGTGGATGAGTTCGGTATTCTCCTGGGAGATGGAGAGGCTCCTAGGACATTCTGGGCTGGGTTGACGCTTATATTTAAGGGTTCCCTGGTTGATGGGCTACGAGGAGCGCCGGGACCAGGAGAAGCTGAGAGTGGTGGTGCCTTGAATGGTTGGTAGGAGACTGACGGCCTGCGCTGCATTGAATGTCCGTCTTCGCCGGAAAGTGAAGCAACCCGTGCATGACCAAGTTTCGGTGAAGGCATCTGTGTTGGAGGAGAAGGCGAGCCACCAACTAACTCCCTAGCTGCGCGGAGGGCAGATATGGGACTTCCCTTGATGCTTGGATCGGCACGATGGAAGGTTGACATGCTGCCATATGCTTGGCTGAGATCCGGATTGTTCGAGGCCCTATGCTTGGCCGGCAAAGAGCCGATATCTACATTTTGGGCTCGAACTTGCTCTTCACGGTCATTCGCCGATGGTAGGGAGGGGCGGAATAGGTCATCATCCACCCCCATAAACCGCGAGCTGAACATGGACTCAGCGTCGTCGACACGAAATTCACAGTTAATCCGATAAGTCACACGAATCGAAAGTGGTCCAGCCGGGGATTCAGTGACACCGAAGGAGTAGGTATCCGGTTCATCGCTTGAGCTGCCGCACAGAGGAATAGCCAAGGGATCCGAACGGCTGCCGTATTGGCTTTTGCTTGCTGGTATTATGCGATGCTGTAGCCGCAAAGCTGGATGGGAGGCGACCTTCGACTGGCGTTTAGTGAACTTCCAGGCAGGCAGTAATTTAGAGTAAGCGAACAAGGAGCGAAATGTAATGATGCACTTCTTGTATGTCGTTGGTAAGATATGCGTCATGTCTCCTGGTAGACCAGAAGAGTTGGAAGAGCCCAACTCGATAACCCATCTTTCCAGAATGACCTCATTCCTTGTGCCGCGTTTCTTTTCCGGTGGCCCTCCAGGGGTATCGGAGAGAGCGTCAAAGACATCCCATCGCTTGCCATGATCATCTAGAATGACGAGTTCTTCGTGCTTTTGGAGCTGAGAGCCGTCGAGAAAGGTTTCGATGATGAGCGGCTCGGGCCGTTTATCGGTAGCGGTACAGTTCCGCCATTGGGTGAGATCTTCTCGCAGGGTATCTGTGTCATCGACCTCGACATTGAACTGCGGCAGTTAGCATCCTAGAACAACAGAAAGATAGACATATATAACAAAACCAAAGGGTGAGGCTCTATAAGTACCCATTTATTTACTTTCTTCACACCCTCTCTGTATATCGGCCGTAAAACGGTCCTCGAATGAAGAATAATCAGCGCCGCTTTGGTATGGTAGTTCTATACGACACTCATTAGCATATATTTCACTCGCTCCAGCTTCTAGCTCTGCTGTTCTACCAACATACCTGGATGATCTGGTTCAGCTTTGCGATCTGGTCTTGTACCTGTTTGTCTGAGAGCGGTCTCTCGTCTGCCGGTATGGGAGGGTTAGGAGCCTCCGAGGCCGGCCGGGGTAACGGCCGCGGTCGTTGATGCATTATCGACAGCCTCTCCGGCACCGATGGCGTTGTTGACTGTTGGTGTTTGGCTGAGGATGACTGTCGTCGTCGTGGTAGTAGTGGTAGTGGTAGTAGCGGTGTCTATCTACTTTCCAGCAGAGGGAGCAAAGAAGGCGTTGGAAGGGGATGAATCACAGGCCATGATAACATAGCCCAAGCACCCTGGAAGCTCTTTTGTTCCTGTTGAAGGAGACGGAGGAGGAGGAAGAGGAACAGGAGGAAAAGAAATCGAGACGTGACGGGAAGGGAAGAGATCGAGGTGGTTATTGAGCTGGCTCGGGACAGGCAGATGCGGTGGTGCCTCTGACGACCATGCTTTTTGGGGGTGGATGCTGGGTTCTAGAACTGGGTGGTGACTAGGAGATCCGCAGCGGGAAAAAGGCAGCAAGAATCTCTGGCTAGGCAGAAGCGACTGAAGAAGAAGAAACGAGAAACCGGCAGAAGAACGAAGCGCCGCAGACGTGGTTTGTTTGATGCAGGTTGGCTGTGTGTGCTGGATGCTGCTGTTGGTTGCTGGCTGTTTTGACGGGGATAGCTAGGTACCGCCGGGGAGCTTCCTCCACAGGGATGGGCCACACTAAAACCGAGAGAAGATGCGCTTGGCAGGCTATGCAGACACACGGGAGGTGAAGAATCCAGCACCACCACAAGCGTCTCTGCGCAGCCGGGCGAGCAGGTGCAGATATAAAGATGAAGACGAGAGCCAGCGGAGAGGAAGAAGACGGAGTTGACGTCGATGAAGTCGAGCGATGGAGGTTGAGATGACCGAATCGGGCGAACACATGACCTGGGCGCCCCCCCGGGACGATAACTAGCTGACTCAGCGGTATCTTTTCGCTCTTCTCTGTATTGAGTATTGAGTACGGAGTATTATTGGCGTGCTTTCGCCCTGCTTTTCTACCTGCCAGGCGCCTGGCCTGCTTTGTTACAATAATGTTGTTGTCGGATAGCACAAAGACTACAGACTAAAAGGTGCTCATTATTGTAGACATTCACCGCCTTCTTTCACCGTGATGGCTGCATGGAATCCCATCCTTGCTATGTTCTGGTGTCTCTTCAACTGCTGCGGCGGCAACAGAGCCTCACACTGTACTGTACCGTACCATCAATACATACGAAATATACGTGCTGACTAACAGTCCTACACCGCCCAGCCAGACGGCCTCGTTTCCTACTGGTGTAAAAAGACCCCTGCTTTGTGTGTAATTTATCGGCATTTGGTATTGTTCTGTACCGTACATTACTGGTCGATCTTTCTCCTCGATCAGCGTGATGATGGAGAGAAGATGAAAAGACAGTCAAAGAGCCAAAGGGAACAAGAAAAGAAAGAGAAACCGGGAAGCGACCGGATAAGAGTCATAACTGCCTGGGCCTGCAAGGGGGGGAGTCACCAGCCATGTAAAACAAACCGCCCTTGTTCCTCTCCACACACCGCATGAGGATGCTTCGTACACATCACATCTCGCCCCTTGCTGCCTGTTGACATCAACGTTGACGTCCCATGTCGATCGAGGGTGACGGCGCGGATACCGACGTCTAGGCGAGTCGCAGCAGCCAGTCAGCCGTGGCAAGTCACTTGGCGAGCCATTCGTCCTGGTGATGCGGAACGAGAGACGCTGACCTTATCAGGGCCGCAACCCTGTGACGGGGCTTGGGGCTTGTAGCGGAGACCTTGCGAGGGCGCAGCGGAGGCGCTTTAACGAGCTCCGGCGTCTCTTTAACTAAACTCCGGGGGGGGCCTTTAACTAACTTACTTAAGCCCTTAACGGAAGCTTTAACTAAAGCTTTAACTCGCGATCTCACTGGCTGGAGATGACATAATCAAACCACGTTCGTGCGCTCGCGGGGTTCTGCGGCCTCTGATTGGCCAGCGAGCTTGGCCTGCGACCTCTGAGCTTCCTCCGGGGACCCCAAGGGAGGGACATCCCACTTTGCGCTTCGTCGGTTTGCATCGTCATCTTCATCTTCATCCTTCATCTTCGCCGTCGTCATCTTTATCTGGTCTTTATCTCCAATTTACATCGTCGTTGAAGCCGCCGTCAAGACCGCAGAGTTGGCAGAGTGACTTGAGCCGGGACCCCAGATAGCTCCCGACAACCCGAACGAGCCACATCACCGAGATCGTCGACCGAGATAACCAGCTATACAGAACACGCAGCAGAGGAGGAGATATACAGGCAGACAAGCCAGCCAGGGCTCACACGGCAGCCCTCTCGCTGCGGCACATGAGCTGGCAACTGCTTCACTTCTTTCTCCGGGACGATGTTGACGCTTTCTCTCGCCTCCTGGCCAGCGCCACGTTCACCACCGCGGCCGCACCTCCCGGCACCAACGCCAGCGGCAGCAACACCAACAACGCATACAAAAGCTCCTCTGCGGTGATAGGCGCCTCGTCTCTTTCCTATGGCTCGCCAACAGCCTTCTCCAAGCACCGCCGGAAGTCGTCCATTTCGTTTTCCTTCTCCCCAGCGGACAGGCAGGCCTTGTCCAATACGACGCTGACACGGAATGATATCAATGCCAGAGATAAGCATGGCCGGACTCTGATGCACCTCATTGCCTCCTCAGATAAGGAGAGCGCATATGGGTTTGCGTCTGCTTTGTTGGCGATTCCGGGGCCCTTTTTGGATATATACGTGCAAGATGCCGAGAGTGGGTGGACATGCTTGCACAGGGCCCTCTATGCTGGAAACATTTCTATTGCACAGGCAATACTACATAGAGAAGGTAGTGGTGGGCTTGTCAAGATCAAAGACAGAGAAGGGAACAGTCCGTTTGAAGTCTTCCATTCTAGTGTTATTTACGATACCCCGGTGGACACAAAAAGAGCGCAGGACGATAGTGACGATGAAGAAAGTCTCGAGGCAGAAGATGAAGTTGGAGGAGAGCAGTACGGTAACGCCAGATCTGTTGCCCCACGAGTTAACCTGGATGGTGACGAGCTGTTCACCTTTGGAAGCAACAAGAACCTCTCTCTGGGCGTGGGGGACAGCGATGATCGGCAATTCCCTGAGCGTATCACCTTGCCTCGTCCAGAGGCCTTGATACATCGATTTTACGAGGAGAAATATGAAAATTCACTCGAGTCTGAAACACCAGAGGAGATCCCGTTCCTTATTCGGTCTACACCCCTCATCGTGCAGGACGTGGTCATGTCCAAGCTACATACTGCAATCCTCACCACAGATCCATGCAGTAACCTGTACATGTGTGGGTTTGGTCCTGGTGGAAGGCTCGGGACTGGACATGAGGGAACGTCTTTCAGTCCAGTATGTGTGGACTCCGGTGCTATCACCGGCAAACGCATCACCACCGTTGCTCTCGGTCTAGACCACACCATTGCCATTTCAGACCAGGGCGAGGTCTTTACCTGGGGAAGCAACAAACATGGCCAGCTAGGATACGCATTGCCGAAGACTAAGCCTACCGCAAGCTCGCCCAACGATGTTCCTACTCAACTGTCTCCCCGCCAAATCTTTAACCCATTCAAACGTGACCGTATCCTAGGCGCAGCTGCCTCTTCTATCCATTCCGCTGTCTTCACGTCATCTGCCCTGTACACCTTTGGACGCAATGATGGTCAGCTTGGCCTCATGGATGCTGATGCTAGGTCTCTCACTTCACAACCTATACCTCGTAAAGTGGGAGCTTCCTTGTTCAGTGTCTCTATCTCCTCTGTTTGTGCTATTGAGCGAGCTACGGTTGTTTTACTGGAAAACCATGAGGTCTGGGTGTTTACGCATTATGGATACTCAAAGCTCATTTTCCCGCTGACCGGGTCGGTATCCAGCTTCATCCGTAGCAGTTTCATGGCTACACGATATGGTGCCGGAGAGAGCTATGTGACAAAGATACGCGCAGGTGGAAACACCATCTGTGCCCTCTCCAATGTAGGCGAAGTCTTCACGGTTTCTGTCCCTGGACGACGTGAAGAAGAAAGAGACAGAGATGGCAAAGAGGGCAGCAGGCAAGTGTCAACTTCAGCCTCAATGTCAACCACCAATCCTGCAAAGATCCGCAACTCTCTTCCGCATCCTATTCGTACCTGGGCAGTTAAGAAGAGTCACATGGCTGTTTGCGACGTGGATGTCGGACAGGATGGCTCCATAATCATCTGCACTCAATCTGGCACAGCCTGGCTGAAAGAACGAAGAGCGGGTATTAAACCTACTGTTGCAGGTGTTGCAGCTGGCAAGGAGTATAAATTTGTTCGAGTCCCTAACATATCTCGTGCTGTGGGAGTCCGTAGCAATGTCTTTGGCGCTTATGCTATTATACAGCGTACCAGCGACGTAGCAAGACGAAACGTCGTGGTTGACGAGCCCCGATTACGAGCTGATATTCTACCCTTGATGCCCTTCGAAGAGATGGTAGAAATTACCAATGAAGGACAGGGGAGAATTGACATTTGCAAGCCAAAATCTCTTCCTGGAAACAAAGATACAGACCAGGGTGCTGATATTGACGTTGAAAAGGAGATGGCCTCCTTACTTGATACCCAGCGGGCTTCTCCATCTCTCTCCAGCCCGTCGATTGCCTGGTTATCCACTTCCCTAAGTGACACCCGAATTCCCGTACACGAGTTCATGCTATCATCTCGCAGCCATGTCCTTCGTAACGCTCTCTCCACGTTCCGGAAGGAATACTACTTCTGTCTTCAAGGAGTTATGTCAATCGAGTACGATAAGGCAGGACAAGTGCATGTCCTATTCTCCAATATCTCATTCCTGGCACTTTTCAACTTAGCAGTATACTTGTATACAGATAGATTATATGATGTCTGGCTCAGGAATCGGAATGATAAGAAGCAAACAGATGCAACCTTGGCCAATGCAGCCTTATACAGGCAGGTACGCATTGAGGTACTCAAACTAGCGGCGGCACTGGAGATGGCCGGCCTGGAACGTGCAGCGAGGATAATGACCCAACCAGCAACAGCCCTACATAATGACATGGCCACCGCCATACAAGATACCTCCTTCTTTGACACAGCTGACGTACTGATCGAGCTTAGTGGAGACGCAGAGGTAAAAGCTCATAGCCATGTACTCTACAGCCGATGCACATTCTTTGACGGTCTTTTCAGGGGTCGAGCAGGTGGCCGTTGGTTACACGCGAGAGCTTCTGGTACAGAACGTGATGTCCATGAGCCTATACACGTTGATTTATCTCACGTGGAACCCAGTGTATGGGATTTCGTCATGCGATATATATACTCAGACGTCGATGAAGAGTTGTTCGACGATGTACATGTTTCCAATGCTGATGCATTCATGGATATTGTCATTGATGTGCTAAGCGTTGCAAACGAGTTGATGATTGACCGATTGGCGCAAATATGCCAGCGGAGGCTAAGCACGTTCGTTACCATACAGAACGTATGTCAACTTCTTAACGCTGTGATGCCGTGCTCCGTGAAGGAATTCAAACGAGCAGCATTAGAGTTCATTTGCCTTAACCTTGAGATTATGCTTGAAAACAGATTACTGGATGAGCTCGATCCAGACTTGCGTTGGGAACTCGACCAAATCTGCCAGGACAAGCAGCTTACCTCTCAACCCATCTCGCGTGGCCGTAACTCTGAGACTTTCCTTGCCGAACGCTATCCAGATATTATCCCACTTATTGAACAAGATAAAAACTGCCGCGTTGATGCAATGAAGCTTCGTTCGCATTTACATGAAGACGAGGTTCGCGACACAATGCTGCGACCTGGAAGTCTCGAAAGGGATAAGCCATCCATGTCTCCGCTGTCACGGAAAGGAAAACAAGTAGGTATCGTCACACCGTTGTCGGATAAACCACCTATTGAGGCAAGCCCTACACTTGCTCCGAAGAGATCAGTTGGTGATCTCATATTCCAAATGGATGATGAGCCATCTCTTCACGCCGATAATCGCCGTGGAGATAGTCTGAGACCGACGCCAGCTGGAAGTTCCCGCGGCTCACCACGAAGCCAACCCCAACCCGCAACCCCTGGCTCAGGACCTGGCCTCGGTCTGGATTTAGGGCCTGCTACTTTTCCTCATCTTTCAACAAAGCCCTCATATACTACTCTTCAGCCACCCAGAACCATGTCCAAAGTCAAGGATATACCTCAACCTGCATCTACCGGTACCCCCAACAATAGCGCTACTCCAAATTCTCCACCACCGAAAGCCCCTTGGTCTTCCATCACTCCAACAAAAATCCGTGGTGGTCTCAGAGATATCATAGCTGAATCAAGTAGCCCAAGCACACCTCCATATCGTATTGAAGGGTTCTCTCGCCCTGAGGCAGAAGCAACCCGGAATTTCTCCCCGAAGCTGTCCCAAAAGGAACGAAAGAAGCTTAAACAACAGCAGCTGGCTGCTGAGCAGGAACAATCCAGTATTGTTAGCAATACCCCTATTTGGCAAATTCCCCGGTCACCCAACCTCAAGCCAACAAAAGCCGATGCCGATATATCAACGTCAAATCCAGCACGCTCCGCTACACCAAAAGCACCGCTTACCCTACGCCAGACAGTAGCAGGGTCAAGCGCAACTCCTGGCTCATCATCCCCGCTTATGAAACCCACTTATCCAAAAACACCTCCCCGCACTCAAGCACCCAAACCCACGGTTCTCAGTACACCCCATACCAAATCTTCACCCTCTGCCTCCACTGGTCTAGGCACGTCCCAAATATCTCTTGCAACTATTCTACTTCAACAACAGACTGAAAAGGATGAGATCCACGAAGCAGCAACCGCAAAACATAACCTGCATGACATCCAGATCGAGCAGGAGTTCCAGGAATGGTGGGACCAAGAGAGCAAGCGCGTGATGCAAGAGGAGCAAGCTGCAGAAGCCAGAGCAAAGATGGAAAGCGAAAAGGCAAGAAGCAGAAGGGGGAATTCTAGCAGGGGTGGAAGGGGACGAGGAAGAGGGGGACAATCACGCCCAAATACTACCCGAAGCGTTGAAGGATCTGTTCCTAGATCCGCCGGTGCAGAGGCCGCCCTATCAGCGGGGACAGCAACAAATAACCCAGCTGGGCACTCACAACCTCAGAGACGAACATCTGGCCAAACAGATGACAGGGATAAGAAACGGCACTCAGACCGGGACCGCGGCAGAGGTCGACATAGAGGTGCAACTGCACGAGGCGGCGGAACACCTCGTGCCCAAAACGTTTGATTCCTTACTCTTTTGCCGTTCTAATTCAATGTCCTGCAAAGCTTTGAGTTAATCTCGACTTTGGACTGGGAGTTTATCCCACCAACCGTCCAACACCCATCGCCTGGCTTATATCATTTAATAATATTGTTTGATTAATAACCTATATGCTCGGATATTTGATTTTTCACAACTCTCTTTTACCGTTTCTTGTCGATTGATTTGATAGAGGCACCATGATATTGTCGGGTTACAGCTCAGCTCGTATGTTGTATAGAAAAAATCGTTTGACCGTCCATAACTGTCTGTGGCTTTATCCTTCAAAATAAATATTTATGATACCGTGGGCATTTCTATATTCATATCAAGAATTTAGATGTTATCATTAACGGCTAATAAGCTGGCTAACTTAATAAATGTTGATAAATGCAGCCAATATATGGGCTGAAGATAGTCGTACACAAACAGTATGAAATAATCCCCTTAAGACACTGCCATTTAATCTCCTGGGGCAGCAACTTCAAGGCTATTCCACATACGGCGGACCAATAGCTCCTCTTCCGTAAGGTGATAGCCAGAACGCGATGAGATATCATTGCTTTGATCATTAAGGTCATCTGAGTCATCATTATAAGCTTCTTCATGATCTTTGAACCGTACCGAGCCTTGTTTCCCCTGCTTTGAGGTATTGGTATTTGATGAATGGCTGCCATTGCGTGTGTGTAAGGAAGATTCATGATTGATATCATTTGTATTCAAATGTCCAGAGTTAGAAGAAGCGCTTGGTTGAGATGTTCCACCCTGTCCTGCAGGAGGATTGGTCATGTCGTACATCCGATTTAGGCTGTCTACGACTGGATTTCGGAAACGATGCATGACCGAAAACTCAGTGGATAGTCGCTCGTACACCTTCTTTATTCTCTTAGACTCTCCTTCAGTTGAAGGGCCGCCTGCGAATCCACCAGCAGCAGTGGCTGCACGGTGAGGATCGAGGGCTAGTCGAGTATGCGCAGCGTTTGAATCGATTACTTGAGGTACTACAGCTGGTGTCATGGGCCCCATTGAGGTCTCCGATGGTGAGGTTGAGAGTGTTGCAGTTCGTTGTAGCCATAGCTTTTGCTGTGTACGGGAGTGTGGTTCTGTAGGCCTGCGTCGAGAAGGTGACTTGAGTGCTTTCGTTATAGCTGTTTCCGGAGAGGGTGGAGTGCGAGGTTGATAGTTAGGAAGAAATGAGGAAGGGGTCGAGAAGTCGGATTCGGAGCGGCCACCAGGATGACTACCCCCATTCGGATGAGTTATTAGAAACCGAGATACCCCTACATCAGTAGATGAGGGTGTAGCATTAGGACTGAACCGCTGAGAGTCTTCCCTTTCGTTGTTGTGCCGAGAGTCGGGCTGATTTATTCCACCGAGGCTCGATAGATTGGCAAATGATGATACTCGAGAGCTTCGTTCCGGCGGTGCCTGGGTAGCTGTAGCGGAAACTGATGACACCGCTGGAGGCACCATGCCTGAGTGTTGTCGGCTGAGAAGCCGCTGGGGTACGTCGTTTTGCCCTTGCTCTGTTGGTTGGACTGTGTCTCCAGCAGACTTTGTAGAATCAGGCTGCGCTTCACCAGCTGCTGGCCCCTCACTCAATTCAGGCTTCATATCCGCTGCGTTGTTCTGTTGGACCAAAGGCGACTTGGTAAACGTCAAGGCGGTGCCTTGGGGATTTCCATCAGTATTTCCGGCCTTACCCATAACAAGTGAATTTCGCCTTGTGCTTGCTCCCGAAGGAGAGCTATGGTCCTCCCATTCGTCGTCGTCGTCGTCAGAGCCCGCGAGTTCAAAGCCCACTGATTTCTTCTCTTCTGTCTTTTCAATCCTGCTCAGTTCGCCTAGTAAGTGTCCCTTCTTGATAATATTACCACTTGAGCCTTCTCGCTTCAAAATGGGAGTTGAAAGATTCTTTCTCATTGCTGGATTATTTGATGATACGCCGCCCAATGCCACAGCAGAGCCGTTCCACCGTACATGGTGGCCGGTCTTTGGACTGGTGGCGGGTGATGAAGGGGCAGACTTCTTTCTCGCATGATGACGTCGACCGGTCACAGACGTTTCTTGTCCTCCGTGGAGATCGCTTATAGCGTTGTGCGCCATAGCCAACCGCTGCAGTTTATTCAGATTCATCTGTGACGTGTTACGACCATGCGCGCGCTGTCCTCCAACCACATGCGGACGGTGAGGCTTATGCCCAGCCGGCTTGTGCGGCGGGGCATGCGTGTTCGGAGGCGACGACATTATGTGCTTGCAGGGGAGTGCAGATGGGAGGCCGTACCAATCTTCCCCTCTCGAATCGCTAACTTCGTTGTTTTGATCGAATATTCTGATAACATCAAGAAGGCGGAAAGTTGAGGTTGACTGCACGTGATCCAGCCTTTTAGATCCGCGGTTAGAGTTCTTGGCTTGCGGTTACAGCGTCTATTAGCGCGGGGTTGTCGAAAGTAATATTAAGATTATCAGATATCAGATACAAATACAATAATACTGTCATTCTCTCATTTATAAACGTTACAAAGTGGGGACTTGGGACTTTCTCCATATTATTAGCATAGGAGAGAAGAGTGATGATGATGTTAATCTCCAACCTCTATTGAATATCCCAAAGTAGGAAATATGCTTCGGCAAAAGAAAAAGATGAAAAGGGATACATGTTGCAATCTTTTTAGTGATTAACAATAGACTATGCTTGGGTAAATAGATGGCATATCATGAAATTTCACGAAGTACTTATTAGCAGCTTATCATTATTGGTTAAAGTTCGATCAGACTTTCCTCCACGACAGGTTTTGAAGCAGCTTGTTGCTGTGGTGGAGGCGGCTGTTGCTGCTGGTGATGTTGTAGGGGGGGCTGTAGGGCGGGTGACATGTAGTTATAGTTAGGATTTTGTCCGTTTGTCGGAGCAGGAGGGGTGTAGACAGTTTGGTGAGGGGTTGCAGATGGTGGCGGGTACTGGGTAGGTGGATATTGATGTGCTATGGGTTGTGGTGGAGAGACGGACTCTGCTCCCTGTGGTGAAGAATGCGTGAGATCTTGAGGGGTGTACGAATAAGAGGGCTGTGGAGGTGGCCGGGAGAATTGTTCAGAATTTCTGGGCTGAGAGTGAAGGCTACCGTGGGTAGAAGCTCTCCGGTCAAAAGAAGGAGTAGATGACAGTGCTGAACCTTGGTAGTCGTGTACTTGCTGTTGCGGCGGTTGTGAATAAGTACTTGGATATTGGGGGTACACCGACTGATGGGGTTCAGATGGTGCGCCAGTTCCAAGATAAAAGTTTTCGGCACCTTCATGGCCACCTGTGTTATGCTGGGTCATAGATGGGTAGAAGTTGGAACCAGACTGGGGGCGAACATTATCATAAGCATTCAAGGTCTGGCGCGAGTATGTATTTGAGAGTCGTTCTTCCAGCATGCGGTCATAATATCGCACAACCGTTGATAGTTTAGCATGAAGGTCAAGAAGAGTATCTAGAACAGTCAGCACCTAGCTAGTCTCAAGGGTCACCCTTATAATGATAACATCTTACCATATTTGCTGACAGTTTCGCCGTATGTTCGAGCGAGCTTCGGTCGTAGGGCACCAATACTTTCGTATAATTCTTGAATTTGGGGTTCTCGTAGAATGGTTCCTGGAGGTTGGTGTTGTAGCCGGTCCACAAGCGTGGCCAACAAGTTGATATTTTCAGCTTCGACAGGTGTCAACTCATAATCTTTTTTCGGCAATACTGCGGAAGATTTGCTGGACGCTGGCTTGTCGCTAAATGCAGAGCTCTTCAGAGCCGCAGTATGCTTTCGCTTTTGCTCCTCCACGTCCTTTAATGATGCTTCAATAGCAGCTTTAAGATCCGCGTCTTCTTCCTCATCATTTTTTGGTGCGCTAACTTGTACCTTTGGCGAGGCGTATGTAGATTTGGGTTGTGGAACATAACCAGAGGACTGCCGCCCCTTTGAATCCTCCAAGCTCATCTGTAGCGCCCGCTTCAAATCTTCGTCAAAATCGTTATCAGCATACGCACTCCGAGGTTCCATGCGGGGCTTATTCGCGGGAACTGCTGGTACGTTTGATGAATTACTAAACGAGCGAGCGGCTGCACTGGTGGATTTCGACGTAAGTTTTGCATAACAGCCATCGTCCACACGGACAGGTTGAATTATCCCAAGGTGCGGTAGTGGCAGGGTCTTGCTAGAACACTGTGCATCGAAAACATTCCCACAGTTGCGACAGTGATGTTTGCGGTTGGTAAATGTAAATGCAGTGCGACATCGCATGCATACATCTGAGTCAATCCACTCCGGGGGCTACCAGGCACAGTCAGTTGGCTATCTATTATATTATAAGTTTGCGGCACGAAACAAGTTGCCGACTTACAGCATCGCTATCTAGCATCGTGCTTGAGATCTCGGTCTTTGGTGGGAAATTATATCCGTCGTTCTGTAGTTTCCGATAAGTTTCGGCGATGTAAGATAGGTCGTTCCTGGGCTGAGCGGCCATGGCCCAGTTCTGTATAAGCTCCAGCATCTTGGTCTTGACATCATGGTTTAAGGAATTTGGGCCTTCAGTTCTGAGTAAGGAAACGAGGTTATCCATAAATTCTCGAGATGCGATCTCAACGAGAAAATGCCGACCGCCATTCTTCACGCAGGTATCGGTCAACTACGCAAAGAGCCCCTGTTAGCGATCAAGATCCTACAACGGAGTAAGACATCTCAGACCAACAAATACACAGACCTTAAGCGTCGCGAGCTGAACATTGGGATTCTTCGTCTCCAGCCTGCGCTTCAGCACTTTCATAGCCTCCTTGGGCTGCACTGTCTTGGATCGAATCAGGTCGGAAATCTCCAGGTTCAAAGCGATATCCTCCCTAGTAACTGTTAGCAGCGGCTAGGTATATCGAGACTTATTACTTACAAGCTGGAGGACGTAGCCTTCTCAACCTGGTCGTCCAGCGGGGACGACGATGTGAACCAGCTTGCCATGATGACGACACTGAGGGAGAAGCTTGGGATGTTTGGAGCTGTAGATGTAGCTATAGCTGTAGCTGTCAACGAAGCACAGCGTCAGGCTGGTCAGCAGGATAACAGGGGCTCAACGGCGATCTCTCCAGATGCGCATCCACTGCCTGCTTCGTCTGCTTGTCTTCGTCTTCGTCTTCGTCTTCTCTTCCTCTGTTTCTGTTGCTTTGCTTCTGCTTGAATGTTGAGTGCCTGATTCCATAAATCGACGTCATGTGATGGAAGAACAAGGTAGATCACGTGGGGAGCTTATACCCGACAGAACGTTGCGCCAGCAGTTGGATTTATCTGCATTGAACAAAGACGATACACGACACCGATGCCTCGATGGTGCGGCTAGAGATGCGGATGGGATACAATAGGGACTTCCCGAGAGACTAACAGGGAGACACGCCACGATCTCCAGCTATTTTTGAAGCCGCTCGGCCTTGCTACGCGGCACGGAGAGGGGCCTATGACGCTCGTTCAGGAAGACAGTTAGCCAGCAGCATTTCCAGCAGCGAGGAGACGGGAGTGTGAGAGGCGTTGGACATATGATATAACCGGGACCTGCTCGAGGCATCGCGCTGCCGACGGGATTCCAGATGGTCGAACCAGCGGAGCCGATTTGGGGTGCCGGAGATGGAGCTCCCGTCCCAGGTGCGGGTAGGCCTCCCTATCCCTCGATGAAAGAATTGCAGAACATGGCAGCTTGTTTGAACTTGGGTGAAGATCCATCGGTATGTTGCTTACCTTTCGCCCTGGTTTACCTCTCCAGAGCTTCCAGGCAGTGCTAACAGCGGGGTTGGTATAGCTAAATGAGCTATTACATATCTCCGAAGATGCCATCAGCAAGTCCAAAACCCTCGCCCAGCGAGGGAAATATGATTCTGCTCTCGTCTATTACCTCCGTGCCTCTGATATCACTGTCAATATGATTCCCCGCCACCCAGATTTCACGTATATGAAGCAGAATCACCCAAGATGGGCGGACCAGTTTGCCAGGCTAATGATGGTGCGTATACTCCGACGACCGTGAGATGCAGGGTAGCTAATGATACCATAGCTCGTTGATTCACAGCACAAGACGATGGAAGACATTAAGCGGAAAATCACAGAAAGCAACAACGCCGCAGGACACTCACGCTCGACGTCAACTCCATCTTCTGCTCCGCTACGCATGCCAAGCCCCACCAACTTTCACAGGCAGCCATTAAACACCACTTCGCATAGCTCAGGAGGCAGCAGGCCTGCCAGTGAGTCGATACCTGTGCAGGATCCCCTTGCTCAGAGACTTGCAGGCTTGAGAAACCATCGACATCCAGGCAGCAGCCCATCGAACGAGGGAGCAAACGGCTCTTCCTACTCTACCAGTAGCACCAATGGGAACTACTCTACCTACCGGTCACACCTACACTCACAGGCTCATTCAGGACAGCGCAGTCCTGTGCCTTCGAAACCACTGGGGCCCCGAGAGATGAACCCATCTGTCCCGACTGTCCCTCCAAAGGTCCCCATCTCTGGTGTAGATGCACCTCTCCCCAGATACCCAAGCCCTGCCTATAACCCTATGTGGACCGTGCCCTCAATACCAACTCCGAACCCTCCTAGGACATCCGTCGAAAGCATACGCAATACTATCTACAAACAGACAAACACCGGAGCAACAAACTCCAACAGCAGCCTTAACACCTCTACAGATAACCCGTACCGCTCGCAAACTCCAAACGGGATCCGCCCCGAGGCTGATTCTGGAAACAGAAGCCCGGACATCTATGTTGGCCCCACGATTACTGCTACAAAGCTGGTAGAATACATTCGAAAATATGATGTCCTGCTCATCGACGTTCGGTCACGCGATCAATATGATGCCGGTCACATATATGCCAAGTCCATCTTGTGCATTGAGCCAGTAGTGTTGAAGGAGAACATATCTGCAGAAGAGCTTGAGGATCGGCTGATTATCTCACCCGACACAGAACAGTCATTATTCAACAGGCGAAACGAATTTGACCTTATCGTCTACTATGACCAAAGCACCGTTGAGCCAACATATTTGATAGGGTCTCCCGCTGGAAGTGCAGTTCCACATCTGCGAGCTCTCTATGATACTTTATATGAGTTCAACTTTTATAAGCCGTTAAAAGGTGGCCGACCTCCAGCTCTTTTAGTTGGTGGTCTAGATGCATGGGTTGACTTGGTCGGGCCACAATCTCTAGCTACGTCCCAAACCAGCGCGATACTAAGCTCTGTCCGTGCTAGAAGACAAGCGCCTGATTCCAGCCAGCCTTTGCGCAGAAATCCTACTGTTAGCGCAAATTCAAGCTGGGAGGTGAGAAAGAGGAGGCTGCGTGATTATAAGCCTCTCAACCCTGAAGAAGAACGAGCCTGGCTCGAAAAGGCGAAGGACGAGGAGATAGACACCAGCTACGTTGCTGAGGAGGGGGACATTACTGAAGAACCAGAAGATATCGACGGATCCACTCTACGGCAGACAGCATCATTCGTACATAGTTACGAGGACTTTCTTAGGAGGTTCCCTGAGCCAAACGACATCCGAGAGTCTATGGTACATGCGGGAAATGCAGTACAATTTCCACTGTACGACGCTGCAGCCGTACCAGCTCCGTCGAGGCCACCACCCGCCATTCCTCGACCCAGCTATAGTGGTGTGGCAGACCGTGGTCAGACGCAACCTCCGCTTGCTCGGCAATCATCTGCCCATAAACAAGCGCTATACTCTTCCCCCATAGATCGACTGAGGCTCCCTCGGACTGGCCTTATCAACCTGGGCTCAACCTGTTATATGAATTCAATAATACAAAGTCTTAGCGCTACTGTCCTCCTTACCAAATTTTTTGTCGATAATCGCTTTCACGCTCAAGTTCAAAAGAACTGGAAAGGCTCGCAAGGCGTCTTGCCGGGCTTGTTCGCAAATCTGATACGGTCTTTGTGGAAGAATGACGTTGAAGTAATTCGGCCTACATCATTCCGGAAATTTGTTGGTCGATTGAACACAGAGTGGGCAGGGAGCCAGCAGCAAGACGCAAAGGAGTTCTTTGATGTCTTAGTTGATTGTTTACATGAAGATCTCAATCTACGTTGGCAACGCACACCTTTACGGCCATTGACCTTTGCAGAGGAAATGCGCCGAGAACAAATGCCAATCCACAAGGTATCGGAAATCGAATGGGCCCGATACTCGCACCGTGAACTATCGTATGTGTCCTCCCTTTTTGCTGGACAGCATGCCAGTCGACTTCGCTGCACCACATGCCGAAAGACTTCCACGACATACGAGGCATTTTATAGCATTAGTGTCGAAATCCCCGTCACAGGAACAGGAGATATTTATCAGTGCCTCAAAAGTTACTGTCAAGAAGAAGTACTCAGTGGTGACGAAGTTTGGAAATGCCCATACTGCAAACGAGAGCGAGAAGCCGCAAAACAAATCATCCTCACCCGAGCTCCTCGCTTCCTCGTCTTTCATTTCAAGAGATTTTCTGCCTCCAGACGGCAACAGGCGCGTAAAATCCACACGCCGGTTTCTTTCCCGCTTAGCGGCCTCGACATGACCCCCTTTATGATTCAACATCCTCAACATTCCCAATCTTCTCGCCCCGTCTCTCCTCTGCCGGATGGCAACGACGATAAACTCGATTCGAAATCCAACTCCCATGCCCCCCTAAAATCCCAATCAGCGCTACAGACTAATGAGCTCGCTACGTCCAGTCCATATATTTATAACGCCTACGCCGTTGTCCGGCACATTGGTTCAACTATGAATGAAGGACATTACATCTCCTTAGTTAGAGATGAGCAACGCAGATGTTGGCGGAAATTTGATGATCAACGAGTAACGGATTTCCAACCGAGTTCTTCCCGTTCTTCACCTGATAACTTGCAAAACGAGCAGGCATACCTTGTTTTTTATGAGCGGGCCCCAGCTAACTAATGATACTTACTGGGTGTCTCAACTTCACTTTATGTATTCTTTGTCCTTCTTTCCTTTTCTTCCCTATGCATTGTTGTCTATCGTTACTTGGCTTTCGTACATCTTGTCTTTTATATTGCTTTGAATGGCATGGGATACCTAACCAGCTATTCTGCTTGGGTGACGGTTGGCTGGATAAGATATAGAAAATTCAGTTTCACAGGCGAGCTTGCAGTGTATAGCTTGGGTACAAGGGGGTGCTTGGGCATGGTACCTCATGCGAGAAAGTTGTTGCCTCGTTATATACCCCCCCCAAATAATGAATTAAATGATGAACTACTCGAGCATAACCCGATAGACCGGTCTACTTGAGGCAAGGTTTAATATGAAAAAAAATAAAGAACTCCTGTATATTAACTACCTTGACTTCCGTTTTCCTTCATCTTGATAATACATGGTTGTAGGCATGAAAAGCAAAAGAGAAAGAAGCGAAAAAAAAAAACAGCAAAGCAGACGAAGTCGACTGGATTTCCATTGCTTTCACGTCAAGGTACGTATGGTTCTATGTGTATGAGTTGTTCAAGTAATGCTGAATGGTTGGGACCAAACGGGAATCCATTTTGGCGGTAGTAAGCAATGCACCAAGCAGCGTTTGTTAGCGACATAGCAACCAACTATGCCACACTCTCGATGTCTTTATCATTTTCTTCTTTCTTGTTTTTTTGTATTATTTATTGGGGGTATTTCCAGTGGTCATTTAAAGTTCCTCGTGAGATGGGGTGTCATCATCATCATCAGCTGATGGAGCCTGACCGGCATCACCATACAACTTGCTGGTGATTGGGTAGGCGACGTTGGAGAGCTTCTCTTTCTGCTCCTCGAAATCTTCGGTGGTAGCAGTGGCAGAGTTCTCATCAAGCCACTCGGTGGCTTCCTTGATGGCTTCCAAAAGCTGTCGAAAAGTACATTAGTACGACGCACTGGGTAAGGAGATGTAGGGGTTAGGGAGCTTACAGTTTCCTTGTCATCTTCATCGATCTTGCCACCAAGGCCTTCGCTATCGGTGACCTGGTTCTTGAGGGTGAAAGCGTAGTTCTCGAGAGCGTTACGGGCCTCGATCTTGCTCTTCATGGCCTTGTCTTCCTCAGCGAACTCGGCAGCCTCAGCAACCATGCGGTCGATCTCTTCTTGAGAGAGACGGCCCTTATCGTTGGTGATGGTGATAGACTCGGCTTTGCCAGTTCCCTTGTCTCCAGCAGTAACCTTGAGGATACCGTTGGGGTCAAGCTCGAAAGAGACCTCAATCTGAGGAACACCACGAGGAGCTGGTGGAATGCCAGTCAACTCGAATTTACCCAACAAGTTGTTGTCCTTGGTCATGGATCGCTCTCCCTCATCTAGTAGTAAACTGTTAGCTTGGTCATAGTAAAAATAGAATGCTCTCAGAGGGTAACTTACAAACTTGGATGAGGACAACGGGCTGGTTGTCAGCAGCGGTAGAGAAGATCTGGGACTTGTGGGTAGGGATGACAGTGTTGCGGGGAATGAGCTTGGTCATAACACCGCCGGTGGTTTCGATACCGAGGGTCAATGGGTTGACGTCCATGAGAACAACGTCCTCAGTACCTTTCTGTCCAGAAAGGACACCAGCCTGAACAGCGGCACCAAAGGCAACAGCCTCATCGGGGTTGATCTGCTTGCTGGCCTTCTTTCCGCCGAAGTACTCCTCAAGGAGCTCCTGGACCTTAGGGATACGGGTAGAGCCACCAACAAGGACAATGTCGTCAATTTCAGACTTCTTGACCTTAGCATCCTTAAGAACCTGTTCAACTGGCTTGAGAGTCTTCTTGAAGAGATCCATGTTCAATTCCTCAAATTTGGCACGGGTAAGGGTCTCGGAGAAGTCCTTGCCATCGTGGAAAGATTCGATTTCAATGCGGGTAGACTTCTGGGAAGAAAGGGTGCGCTTTGCCTTCTCAACCTCACGCTTGAGTTTACCCATGGTCTTGAGGTTCTTGGTGATATCGACATCGTTCTTCTTGTTGTAGAGCTTGACGAAGTGGTTGATGACACGCTGGTCGAAATCTTCACCACCCAAGTGAGTGTCACCAGCGGTAGCCAAGACCTCGAAGGCACCCTTGTCAATGGAGAGGAGAGAGACATCGAAAGTACCACCACCGAGATCGTAGACAATGATCTGACGCTCGTCACCAGTCATGTCAAGACCGTAGGCGATAGCTGCGGCAGTTGGCTCGTTAACAACACGGATAACGTTAAGACCGGCGATGGTACCAGCATCCTTGGTGGCCTGTCTCTGGTTGTCGTTGAAGTAGGCGGGGACAGTGACGACAGCATGGCTGACAGTCTCTCCGAGGTACTTCTCGGCGATGTCCTTCATCTTACCCAAAACCATGGCGGAGACCTCCTCGGGGGTGAAGTTGCGGGCCTTTCCGTTGACTTCAACGTTGACAGACGGCTTTCCATTGATTTCGCTGACCTTGAAGGGGAAGTGCTTGATATCCTTCTGAATGTCCTTGTCAGAGAACTTGCGACCAATGAGACGCCTATGCTCCTGTCAGTACCCCAGTTCAACAATACAATTATCATAGTCTGTATCCAACTTACTTGATATCGAAGATGGTACGGTGGGGGTTGGCGGAGTACTGGTTCTTCGCAGCATCTCCGACCAATCGTTCCTCATCGGTAAAGGCGACGTATGAAGGGGTGATTCGGTTTCCTTGGTCGTTGACAAGAATCTCGACCTTTCCATTTCTCATAACACCAACACAGCTATTGAGTGGCAATCAGCATTCATTCCTACCCACACAGCTGTTAAACGGGGGACATGTGGAGAGATACATACGAGTATGTAGTTCCCAAATCGATACCAATGACTATAACCCAATTAGTATCTGCAGTTCCTTGTATAGCTGGGCTCCAAATTCCATACCATTCTTGAGGTTCTCGTTCTCAATGGGCGCCTGGGCGTCCCCGGCGTTTGCGGTTCCCAGAAGCGCAAACGGAGCGACTAGGACAAAGAGGAGGTAGAGGATGGTGGTCCACGCAAAGGGCGAGGACGCTCCCCGCCTCGATTGTCTGGACATCTTGGATGTAATTGTGACCGAACGAATAGTGATGGTAGGCAAACTGGCCGGAAGAAGAGCTGGCTTGCTTCTAGTCTGCCCGCAAGAGCCCTGATCAACTCCCTGAGCCGACGAACTTCCAACGGCGGGGTATAAAAGGAAAAGAAGAGGCAACCAAGAGGTAGCAGAAGAAAATCTCCTAGTGAGGGTGGACGGAGAAGAGAAGAAGAAGAGAAGATGAAGTTTGAGGTTGAGGTCGAGCCGTGGATGTTGCTTTATGAAGAGAAGCGCAAAACGCAAAAGGAACAAGTTGGCCTCTTCAAACTCGTGCCGCGCTAGGCCGTCTCGGGTTTAGCGCGCCCGTTCACCGACAGCGAAGACTACTCCGCGTGTTGCGATTGGTCAATAATGATGAGTAAGCGTTATTACTAAGCATGTGGCCACTGAGACGACTTGACGGCTTCTGATTGGCTACGGGTTTGATATCAAAGGCCAAAACCGAAAAGCCGACGATGATGAGGAAGAGAGGACGGAGTAGTGAGACGGCAATGGACGGAGTACTCTGTAAGTAATAACTATGCGGTAAACGTGTCCTTATCTACAAAGTAAAGCAACTACTCTAGCAGACCCGCAGCAACGGTTTCCCCTGAAGACCGCAGAACTATCCGCGCAGGAGCTTCTAGCGGAATAGACTGCTCCAGGTCTACCACCACCCTAGCGACATTTCCCGGAGCCACAATCTTCGGTTTCCGCTTCGTTGGCTTGCCTGACCCTTTGTCCAAAGTCGCTACCAGCTGCGTAATCCGACCAGGGACATGCAGCCGGCCGCGGTGCACGTCAATATGCATTGGTGTCAGATGGTTAAAAGCAAGCACTTTTGCGGTGAAGCTGGTGATGTTCTGAGCTGGCGAAGAGGTGCTGCAGACGATATCACCAATTCGGAGGTGTTTGGGGTCGATGTTAGCTAAATGGAGGACCACGTTTTGGCCTGCCACCGCCCAATCCACTGGCTCATGATCGACTTCCAAACTCTTGACAACTCCTTTCTCACCGCTGGGCATGACCAAAAACTGATCGCCCATCTGGAGATGGCCAGCGTCAAGCCGCCCCGATATAGACAGGGGATTCTGGATACCTCCCCGGAATATATCTCCTATCGTCATTCGTAGAGGTTTGTCGAGCGCATATGAGAATGGCTCAGAAGTCTCTAGTTCTTCAATAAGTGTCTTGCCAGTGTACCAACCGGCCTTTTTATCCTCACATCTCCGCGCTATGTTGTCTCCCTGAAGGCCAGAGCAAGGAACAAATGAGATATTCTTCGCCTGGAAGCCAGCTGTTACCAGGAAGGCGGATATCTGCTGTTCAATCTCATCGAACCTGTCCTTATTCCATTCTACGATATCCATCTTATTAACGGCAATGACCATCTTCTGCACACCCATGCTCCGAACCAGCAAAGCGTGTTCTTTAGTCTGTCCCTTCAGTCCAGATTCAAACTTGCCGGTGCTGGCATCCACGACCAGGACGGCAAAGTCGGCTTGGCTCGCGCCAGCAATCATATTAGGCACAAAGTCTCGATGTCCTGGCGCATCTAATATTGTAAATTTGGTATCCTTTGTTTCAAAGTTATTTGAAGCAATGTCGATTGTGACGCCCCGAGCCCGCTCTTCGGCGCCCTGGTCAAGAACCCATGCAAACGCAAACGATCCTTTTCCGATCTTATCGGCTTCTCGTTGGTATTTATCGACTGTTCGCTGGTCGACCGCTTTAAGGTCGTAGAGCAGCCTCCCCATAAGTGTACTTTTCCCGGCATCAACATGACCTATAATATGTTTGTTAGTGGGACACCTATTTGACAGCCAATTCAAGGCAACAAACCAATAACAACAAAATTCGCTGCTTTTTTCCTCTTTGCTTTTCGATGTTCTTCTAATACAT